ACACCTAATACATACAATCTGATGAGTTTCATGAACTGTCTCGTTTCACTATTGGCACTCGTTTAGGTTCCGATCGTGTAGCAGACATCTCTTCGGTGAAGTCGTCCATAACGTAGAATCTGCTTAGAATGACGAAGAGACAAACACTTCATGAAGAAGACGAAGAACTGCCGGGTTATAGCAACCAACGTCAGTTATACAGGTTTTCTGGAGAGGAGAAGCCCAATTGCGCATCAATATTGTTAGCACGTCGTTGTGATTGCAATTCCCATCATCGCGCTTACTTTCCACCCCATTTGTGCTAATGGTACAAGTACGAAAGTACTGTATTTTACTGTAGCTTACTGTTGGAGTTAGGTATCTCTGAGTAAAGGCGGGGATTATAAATCTGCTCGCACAAGTGACCATTGAAGACTGACAATTTTGGAGACAGCGATAAGGCAAATCGTAATAGGGTGTGGCGGTCATCTGCTAGTAGAAGCCCCCCGAGTTCGAAAAAAGAGGATTACCGACATCATACATTGGACAGTGTGGATTTAGATACAGTGTGTGGGATATATGCTCAAAACATCATCTCTGAGTTGGTGACATGGACAGAGATGCTAGTGATTGAGTCGAGATGGGCAAAGCTATCTGAACCAAAAACCGCTGCGGTATTTGTATGACTAATGGAACATCTGGTTAGAACATCTGGCTTAAGGATGTCTGGGTGTGGCATTTCGTCGATATTGAAGTTGTCTATTTAACATTCCTAGTGTTTGGTCTTGTAAACGAAGTAATGTCTGCGCAACTTAGTCCTCCATATACTGTAATGCTGTACTCTTCTCCTCCTATAGTCCTTCTAGTGGGACCCACTCAAGCAGAACTCGGGCTTCGGGATTCTTCTGGGACGAGAGAGGACTTGGGTATATGTCTTGGCTAAGAGGACTTGGCGGTGCCACTAGCGCGAGAGGACAAAGAGGGCGAAACGAGAAATTGGGTATCGCCTTGATGTCCCAGGATGTGGAGTTTGAAAAGATCTGTCGCAAGCTGCAGCACTACAAGTGGCGCCCCGGAAACAAACGAGCGCAAGCTCGGGGATGGTGTTGAACTCCTTTCATGTGGATCAGATCCGAGGGTTAGGGGCTCTACAACGAACGAGCCGAGGAAGAGATCCAAAAGGTACGAGAAAGAGGTGGCAACAAGCGTGATTTATCAACCAGTAGTAACATGAGATGTATAGTAAGATAATGGATCGGAAATCAACAACGCGCGCAAACGAAAAGCGGGGTGCTGTGCAGAGTTATACAAACCTTGATTGTGGTGCTTTTATGTACGTACTGTACTGCTGTACCACAATAGACACACTACAAGTACAGTACTGTACAGTACTGTATGTACTGTGGTTCCGCCATAGTGGACACCTTCAGTGTATCACGAGGTGAACTGTAACACATTACTTTCAAGAAACAATCAAGAAACTTCTCAAGTCATTAGGTTTCCCTCACCTTCCAGAATATTGAAGGACTTACCCCATTCAAATTTCCGTGTGGCAAATTAGGTTCAATGATCCGATTATTCGTAAAATGGAGAACCTCCAACAATTCGCAGAAATCCAGGATCTTTCTGAAGAAAACCACCAGATCATTTCGGGCCATTGCGATGTCTTCCAATTCATCACAATCTGCCATACGCTCAGATTACACTCAGAATGATGTCACATCATCGGAAATGACTGTGATGAGCTACTACCTACTTGGACCGGAAGTAGGGAGCAAGCTCAACGAAGTCATGCCGCATCGTAGTATCGATGAATGGAATTTTTGGACTGAATATTTCTCTTCTGGAGGTATTTACAGCAAGCTAATCCAGTATGCAGGAGACCCCCTTTTCTACGAACGACTCGTCAAGCCAAATTTGGAACAGCTCTCGCGTGAATATCCTCAATGGTACGGTAGGCCTGTGGGTATGGATCCATTTCCGTCATACGTCGAGTCGTTTCCATTTCCTGAGTGGCGCCACCCAGACATGATCTACTTCATGTCTCGATTTGCAAGGAAAACGAGGCACTACCTCAGATATGAAAACTTCCTCGAAACCCGCGAAATCGTTCTGGAGAAGCTGGAAGAACAGTACCCTCATTTCGACATGCATTATGTGGAAAATTGGAGCTGGAAGTTTGAGCAGAATGCCTTCAAGCTGTCTAGGGCTGCGGCTAAGCTGATGGCAAAAGAAGGCAGCCTGAGGGAGTATAGGAAGTGGCTAGAGAGGACTTTTCCTGAGTATTACGGCGGACCGCAAAGAGTGGCAGAGATTAGAAAAGTAGACTGGTATAATGTGGAAAACATTATGAAGTCTACAGGTAGTGGGAAAAGTGTGATTGCTGCTTTGAGCAAACTTCTACCCATTCAGCTGATAAAGGACGCTTTCTACAAGACCTCCGGTTTACCAGGGCCCGCTTTGAAATACATGAAGCATCCAGAGGAGCCACTGCCGGGAATTTGGACTGCTTCTGATGACTTGGATTTGCTGGAGGACGACGAATATCAAGTGGCTAGATTGAGGACATTCCACGGAGATCACAATGTGAAGTTTAGACAAGAGTTTTTGGTCAAGAGGGTGGTGAAGGCTAATAATGATGCCAAATCTGCTTTTGAGAGGCCCAAAATGAGTTCGCCTCGAACTCATGTGTCTCCACTTGGTGAACCAGATGTTGCATGTCCCACTTTAGATCAGATGAGATTGATAGAGTGCTTCGGTGGCTATGGAGGAGAGGAGTTGAGAAGATTGAGGATGAAGGCGTTATCTCAACTGTGAGTTTCGACATTTAACATTACATGTAATTGTATATTTTTTTTCCACAGTATCTTGATTCAGTTACTTGTACGTTCCAGTTGTATCGTACTACCGAACAATACGTACAGTATGTACAGTATGTTCTTGTACATTCTCAAACACAACACGCGTGCGTATTTGTGAGTTCGCAGATACGAGTCCTCGGGGGACCATTCACTGCCACGCAAATATTTGAATGAGAATTGAAGTAATGAGCGATATTCGGTCATTACATGTCACACTTCCATACTGGTCGCGTCTTGGGAAGATCGGTCTGCCTAAGGGTGCTTGGATCACTCTCGGAAATGCCAGCGAATTAGTATGCAGCCCATGCAGCAACTCCAGCAGCCAATTGGGCTTGTTTTGGATGAATTTGGCTGTTAATCAGTGTAAACACCAATAGGACACCCGATCTGTATCTTGTGGTATAATATATTCAATCCTTTTCGAGCCTTCATGAACATATCAGTGATTTTCACCACACGTTTTTCGTGGTCTGCGAAACGCGTGGTTACGTATCTTGCATGTCATCTGCACGACTGGAAACTCGATATCAGGGCAGAGAACCTGCAATAATTCCCGTCACACTCAAACACAACCGAACCGACCGTCTACAGAATGGAGTAACCTACGCCTACTATTAGACGTCAGCCTTTTCCTAAGGGACAAAAGTCTGCTACCCAACTGACCATGTCTGTTACCAAACCGTCCATTCCTCCTGCAAATCTGCCCATCCCCCAGCCGCAAGGTGAAGTCTATGGATGTCTCGACACGGTCAAGTGGGATCTGCAGCTCGCCGAGAGGAACAATCTACTCATCGACATGTATGACGAGCACAAAGGGAGGACTGTCTGCATAGTGTCACACACTAGAACACTTGAGGCGAGCCCGTACATACTGTATTGTGTACATACTTGTATCTTCAGCATTCTCAGTTCCCAATGCGGCAAGACGTTTATCGACTCAAGTCTTTCGGGACAGTATGGTGTGGGCTGTCACTCTCCATAGCACGTTTCAGGATGTCCATACTGTAACGATACACCGTGTTTTAATGGGCGGAAACGATGCCCTAACATCTGGCTCTAATGGGCAATCATTTGCGTGACTGACATGCTTTGCCAGAGCCAGCGCAAAATTGCGGAGAGGTTGCGCATAATTAATTCAAAATTATGCAACCTTAATAACACTAGACTTTGAAGTGGATTTAATGACCAGAAGTAGACAGTATTTGCAGGCGACGTCGGCTAAATATACGAGTAAGAGGGTTGAGGAGTGGCCCGTTAGCGAGCAACCTGGATCTGAATCGTCATTGAGCTTTTTTTGTCTGGATATGGTCTTGTTTTGGCCTTGTCATACAACTGTACATATCTCTTAACTGGGCATTTTACGCACATCGAATCATAAGGACATATGATAATGAACCTGACATCTCACAAAAACAGGAACACAACTGACTTCAAGCCGGCGGAACACACCAGATCTGCTGAAATGTACTTCGGCTTCCACTACCATTGACTCTCATACAATACGGAACCCATATGATCGATGGTTAAGTCCTTTTTCCTTTCGTAGTGGCGGTCTCCAACATCCATCTCCATGGCAACCAACTCTAAAAAACCCGGACAGTCTAATTGTGCAGCATCCGAGATCAATCTAAGGGCGGACTTGCACTTGCAGCGAATCACTTCAAATGGTGAGCCAGCCAGACTCAGCTTTCACAACTTGCATCGCCAGTCAAAACGTTCACCCCCGATAATGCCCGTATATATCCGGTTTCCAAAATTAAAGTTACGAACGGCTTCCGCATTTTTGCGACTGAAAAAATACCCAAATTCCGAACTCTACCGAGGTCTAACTTTGGGAATGTTTGAGAATTCGGACTGTGAGTCTGCTGTATCGCACACCACAAGTACAAGTACAAGGGCAGTATTGTACTGTTTAGACACATTTCTGATGCAATTGAGCGGCAGGTACATGTAAAGCACTGCTTGTGTCAAGAGGGGAAGCCCATGTGACATCCATGGGGCTGATGATTCCATGGAGACCTGACGCTACCGAGTTACGATACACATAAAGCATTGTATTAGCGATAAGTAGACGAGGAGCGACCACGGTCTCGAACTTAAGGGGAGCTCAACGCACGTCGCATCTCTCTCATTACAGTGGCTCTGGAGCCCTCAGTGAAGCTAAGCCGGGATGTTTTCGTTCTTTCGGAGAGAGTAAGAAACAGCTTCGATAATCTCAGGAGTCTGCTGGAACTGAATACCGCTACAGTCACTCAGTCTATTGTCACGGGAAGCAGAAGCAGCAAAGAATGGGTGGCGTAATGGTACTTCGATGGAGTCACAGCCCTGGCCACCACTTTTCCGGATTCGCTTCTTGTTTATCAGGATCGAATCTGGCCGTTCGGACTGCAGCTGTTCTCGCAACTGCAGATCAGAGTCACTGAGTGGAATACATGACCTACTCTTAGGCCGTGTGTCGACTGGGCTATGCGAAGGCTGGACACAATCCTCCTGAGGGAATTGACTTAAGGAATTGCCATTCACTCCACCCTTCTTGTCCTCAGTGATCTTGTCGGGGTCTGACAATGTAGTCGGTATGGAAGCGTCTCCCTCCAATAAAGTGCCACCTGGGCCACTAATTAGGATCTCGGGGACAGACTGCTGTTCAGGTACACTGGTACAAGTAGCCCGCGTCCAGAAGAGTCGAGAAAGTCTGCTAAACACTCCTGGCTTTTTGAACTTCCATGTTTTGGCACTTCGAGCGCCGGACAGTCGCCATCGTTTGCGCTGATAATTGAAAAAGAGGTTCGTCATGATGGTTGGTACTTGTAGTTGTTTGATTAGAGTGTCTTCGGTATTTTGAGTCTGATATTGATCGTGGAATTAGCCTGTAGCCAAATAGGATCACAACACCAGGTGTGGTACAAACACGCTACGATCGGTCTCTATCTTTGCGATTATAATTTATAAATGCTGAATTATAATATATACTATACACCAGTGGTACCCGGAATCTCTAATATTCCTCAGAGTACTCGGCCTCATCATCAGATCCATCGTCCTCGGCCTCATCCACTACAAATCCCCCCAAATCGTTGTCTTCAGAGTCGTCGTCAGAGTCGTCTTCAGAGTTCTCGTCACCGTCACCACCACGTCTTCGACGAGAAGGAAGACCTGTATACACGCCGTTAGTGATGCCCTCGTTGTCCGTGTCTGAAACATCCTCAGAATCCTCTTCTGAACTCTCCTCCTCCTCTTCTTCATCAGACAGGACCACAACTGCATCTCTCTTCTTCTTAAGTCGCGATACCCTTGGCTTCTCGTCGTCGTCCTCTGAGTCTGTGAAAATTGTCGTTGCCTTGCTCTTGGACGAGCTTGGCTGCTGGTTGTCGTCATCTTCAGAGTCAGAAAATATCTTACGCGACTTTTTGGACCGTGAAACCGCCGGATGGTCATCTTCTGAATCAGACATGATCTTATGCTTCCTTCGGGGCTGTAGCTGTTCGTCGTCATCGCTGTCGTCGATTGTAACTTCTGTTGATCGTTTCGCCTTCGGCAGGAACTGCTCATCCTCCGAGTCGAGATCGGAGTCGTTAATCTGAACAGTAGTAGAAGTTGGGGCAGGAGAAGACGCCTGACTGTCGCTGAGAATAGTCACGTCTCCTGTCACGTCACCTCCGTCGTCCACCTCATCATCGTCCACCACGAACCCGTCGTCTTCGTAATCACTGATATCCTCACCAGGTTGTCGACTGTCAGACTCCTCATCCTCGTCATCAACATTGATCGACTCTGCTGCCTCCCGGCCAGATCCGTCATTCACCCACACTCCACAGTTGGTGCACTGGTCCTCCCCCTCCTCTAGCTCCCAATGGCACTGCGAGCATCGCTGCACTCCGTCTTCCTCGTCCAGATGATATGAGCTCTCGGCCACAAATGCAGGAAACACCCGCTTCTTCTTGATGTCCTTGGCGTACGGCTTGACCTGCTCCTTCTTGCGCTGCGCAAACGGCTTCTCCAAGCTTGGATCCACCCCGATCATCTTGTTGGTGATGCTCTCAGCCAGCGACTTGAGAGTCAGCGAATGCGTGGGTGCCTTGCGGATCTTGGTGCGGCATTCGGGGCACGAGTTGTTGTTGACGAACCACTGTTTCAGACATGGGTAGCAGTAGTTGTGGCCACAGTCCAGCACGAATGGCACAAACATGATGGACTGGCAAATCGCACATTCCAGGTCAGAGCCGACGTCACACAGAAGCCCCGCATACCGATCTGATCCATGCGCCTCCCTGAATTCACGAATATCTGTGCTCATTTGTTGTGGATAGGGGTTACCGCACTGTCGGGCGATGGAGTTGAATGGCTCTCTGTCAGCCTCAAAACAAAAACGCAAGCTGCATGAGAAACGCGTCCCACCTTAATCGATAATTATCAACCCTAACCTGAGTGGAGATGTACCGAGCCTGATATGGAGGAAACCGAACACAACATGACACATAACAACATAACATCCATGCCGTTCTACGAGCCGGTGTAGGACATCTTAACTGCTTACTTGTATCAAATCAAAATGTCATTAATGCTATAAACTGGCAAGTGCATCATTGATGAACACATTCTGCTCCATCTGTGTCTTATACTTATCGACCACAGTCTTGAGCAGCTGAGAGGCCCCATCCACCTCGTCACCCTTGATCTGCGACTTCCACTCGGTCAAAATCTCCTTAAGAAGCTTATTTCCGGCAACCAGATCCTCAGAAGCGTATTTTTTGCCCTGGGTGCCTGAATTGACGTCATCCAGCTCCTGAGCCTTTCTCTTTGCCATGTTGACCACCTTGGTAGGGAACTTGACCACCTCAGCTACGTGAGTACCATAGGACTTGGAGGATACGCCAGGAACGACCTTATAGAGCAGAGTGATGTCATCAGATGACTCTCCAACGTGAGCAGCAACATGCAGGTTGTCCACACGATCAGGGTGCTCCTTCGCCAGCTCAGTAAGCTCGTGGAAGTGTGTGGCGAACATGCTGAAGCAGTTCATCTTGACAATGTGTTCGGAAATGGCCCAGGCGAGTCCAAATCCGTCATACGTAGACGTACCTCGGCCCAACTCGTCAATGATGATCAGAGACTTGTCTGTGGCACTCTTGAGAATAGCAGAGGTCTCCAGCATCTCACTCATGAAGGTAGACAGACCCTTGAGCTGCGAGTCTCCTGCACCCACACGTGCCAGAATGCAGTCAAAGATAGAAATCTCGGCCCTGTCACAGGGCACGAAGCAACCAATCTGGTTCATGAGCACAATTACACCCACTTGACGGATAAAAGTACTCTTACCGCCCATATTGGGGCCAGTGATAACCAGGAACTTCTTGCTGTCCTGGCCGAGATGCACGTCGTTAGGAATGAATGTATCTTGAGCCTCGAGACAGGGATGTCGGGAGGCTGTGAGAATGCACTTTCTGTCGTCAGAGTCAACGACAGTAGGCCGGATGTAGTTTCGCTCAATGGCCACAGAAGCAAAAGACGTGAGCACGTCCAGCTGGCCCAGAACAGCCGAGCATCGCTCCAACAGAGGACAGTACGAGCAGGCAATCTCGATGATCTCCTTGGCCAGTCGAGCCTGGATCTTCTTGTACTCCTGAGATAGATCTGTGAACTCGTTGGAGAGGCTTCGCAGCTCGTTGGTGGTAAAAATGATACCGGCCTTGAGAGTGGCAAGCTCCTTGAACTTGGACAGGCCTCGCAGACATGAGGCGTCGGTTCGCGTGAGTCGGAAACTCCAGCCGTGGACGTGATGGTTCTCAAACTTGAGCTTCTTGTCCATCTCCATACCGAGCTCGTCGGAAACAGAGGCAAAAATGTCCTTCATTCGGTCTTGGCAGGCCTCCAGACGGGCCTTTGTGTCATTCAGACCTTCCTCCATGTCAGGATTGATCATGAACTCGTGTGAGTCAATCGAGTTGAGATCAATGGTGGACTCAACAAGCTCCTCAAACTTTTGCAGTCCAGTAATGATAGAGTCCAGTTGTGTCAGGAAAGTTTCTTCGAGCAGTTCAGACTGAGCAGCTCGCAGGCCAGAAGCAATGTGAGGAAGAGTGGCCACCATCTGATAGACTCGAACCACATCCTCCAGAGAAGCAGCCTGTCGCATGAACTTTCGGGTCAGTCTGTTGAGGTCAGGAATCGTAGAGAGATTCTGTCTGATAGACTCGAGCAGGTCGCTGCTCGTAAAAATCTCCACAATCTCGTGCCGCTTCTCAATCTCCTGTTTGTCCATAAGAGGCTGCTTGACCCACTGGGCGAGAGTTCTAGAGCCAGTAGCAGTCTTACAGACGTTGAGAAGACCGTAGAGAGAAGAAGACTTGGTAGAATCCTTCACGGAAGGCATGAGATGCAGAGCCTTGAGTGCAGACGCGTCGAGCTTCATGTACTGCGACAGAGTGTGTGTTTTGATAGTGAAGGCACCATGGTTGCTAGCGTCGGAGGTCAAAGACAGGTACTTGATGAGACAGGCTAGAGAACCCAGAGCGTTCTTGAGGCTGAGTTCGGGAGATGTAGGTTGCAGTTTCTCGGCGAGCAGGTTGTCTAGGTTGCTCTCCACCTCGTTGGCATTGAACCAGGAAGACTTTGCATCAGTACGGGACACCCCCGCCCGTTCAATGACAGCCTTGACCTTGTCGTCGGATGTGATGCACTCCTTTACGTCCAATTGAATCAGAAGTGACTCTAGGTTGCTCATGCACTCGTTATCTTCAAACTCAGACACGCCAAGCACGTGGTTGTTGAGATCCACAAACGCCAGACCAACAGTGTCGCCCTGAGTCTTGACAGCAATTGCCACGGGGTTGGTGTTGAGCTGGCCGGACATAAGATCCTCGACCTGAGACAGGTTTCCCGGACTTCCCCAGGATGTCATACGCCACTTGCCGTCGACTTTGCCGTAGATCTCGACCTTGAGTCCATAGTTGAGCAGGGCGTCTCGCAGAAAGTTCTGGAAGCCAGAAGTGGCAATAGTGACGTACTCCTGCTTCAGATCGGTGGTTTTGAGGGCTGTGAGCGTTCGGTAGACTCGCTCTGCCACGTATCGAGCGTCCACTCCAAACAAAACGTATCCGTCAGGTCGCTCAAACACTCGAATGGTGCCTCCATTATCGCAGGGCTCCTCTCGCTCCTCGAGCCCCTTGTAGAAGGCCGTCAAGGACCGCTCCTCGGTCTTGTCGATGTTGAATTCCGGTCGCGACATGATGTTGAGTTGTGAAACGCGAACTCTGAAACTTGGCTTAATTAATTCCACGCGTTTGAGTTCGGGTTTGGGTTGACGTGAACTGGGAGCGACGGTGGGAGGGAGGAGGGAGGAGAGAATTTGATATATACCACACAGCAGAAAAAATGGCCATAAATTGGATGAAAATCAATGGCGAGAAGCGACAACCGAAAAGATCAATCGCAGACTTACCAAAAGCCATTATCCCTTCATACGTCGACTTTTTCCCGGGTCTCTGACCTCCACTCCAGTAGCATGCTGTGTGCAAGGCAGCACTCTAAGGAGCAGCTCGTGGAACCCATCTAGCGATCACTACAAGTACGAGGACTCCCCAGACCGGCCACGTGACACCCATGCCCACCCCCGCTCAAAGGCCGCAGAAGCCGATTGCGTTTGCAAAAAACTGGGCCCGAAAGGGAGCTGCAGTTTTGCGATGCAGATGCAGGGACCACATGAAAAGAGGACCTTGGAGGTTTGGCGAACGGCTGAAACAGCAAAAAAATGCAAAAAATCAACAGACAAAAGAAGCTTATACGGTATCTGTCAGAAGCTACAAGGTACGAGGTGCCGAGCAGCCGTATGCTCTGTACGAACCCCGGTCTGATCGTTATCTGTCCAGTCGGTGGGTTTGGATTTCCTCGCTTCGCATTGGTCCATACCGTACAGTCAACATTGCACAAACCAGTAGAGCAGCCATAACTTTTCTTAGGCAATGGCGATGACCCGTTATGATAATAAATCTTGTCACGAACTGGTCAAAATAATATGACACATGGATGTAGAAGGTACTGCCGTATGTGTACAAGTGTCTCATCTTCTTCATCCACACTATTCCTCTATCGACGCACGAAGGCGGCAAACACAGACCGGTGCAAGCTTGCGCAGAGACACAGGCTCACACACACGAGAAGAACACCCTAGAAACGAGGGTTTTCTGGACCAGCCTAGAAGGCTTGAAACGTAACAGTATTCTCAGCGATTGCGTAAGCGTCTGTTGACAGGCATCATACACGTAACTACAAGTAGCTGCTGCTGATAGTCAAGATCTACAGCAATAAGAAGGCTAATGAGATGAACTACAAGTACAAGTAGTTACCAAAGACTGTAAACTTATAGCATCAATCTACAGTAGCTACAGCGAGCACACATTCTATTTGTCATGGTGGTATTACTAAATATCTTACTGGGGAGCGAGACAGCCGTTGGAGTTGGCGGATCTCAGGCCTCCGACGGAAACGTGATACTGGTGCTTGTCGGGAGTGGTGCTACCAGTGGCAACATTGAACTCAGGCTGGATGGTGACTGAGTTGATGCCGTGTTCGTGGAAAATCTTCTTGATGTCATTAGACAGAGTCATGAACTCAGAAGGGTCGGAGGCCACGCCGACATGCAGAGTGGCGACGAAGGTGTCTTCCTTGAGGATCCAGATGTGCAGGTCGTGCAGCTCCTCGACACCGTCGAGAGCCACAATTTCGTTCTTGACGTCCTCCGCGTTGATGTTCTGGGGAACGGCTTGAAGCAGAATGGAAGAGGTGGATCGACAGAGAGGCAGAGCCGAGGAGAAGATGATGACAGTGATAACGAGAGAGATGACGGGATCAGCGTAGTACTTCCATGAGTAGTCGGTCTTCCAGATGAAGAAGGCGGTGGCAATGACACCAATGTTTCCAAGAGCATCGCCCATAACGTGCAGGAAGACGCCCTGCATGTTGAGAGAGACCTTCTTCTTCTGCTCATTCTTCTTCTTGGCGTGGAAGTGTGTAGCATGTTCGGACGAGTCAATGTTGGAGATGGATCGTCGGTGGGAAGTGGGGTGCTGGAGCAGAGAGGTCTGCTCGGTGGGCGCGGTGAACTGAGAGGCAAGCACAGTGTCGACAGCCTCCTCCTCGTCGTGGGCGTGGTCGTGATCGTGATCGTGGTCATGTCCGTGGCTGTGTCCGGCGTGGCCGTGCTCGTGGAACAGCAGTAGTCCGACAATGTTGGAACACAGACCGGCGGTACCGACAACGGCGATGAGCTTGGGGTTGGTGATGATTTGGGGCTCGAAAAGACGTTGGATGGCCTCCAGCAGAATGGTCAGACACAGAGCCAGCAGGAAGACGGCGTTGGCCAGAGCTCCGAGAATCTCGGCTCGCTGCCAGCCGTAGGTGTACTTGGAGTCGGCTCCTCGAGACTTGGCTACTCGAACGGCCCAGAGGGCGATGATCAGCGAGAAGACGTCGTTAAGCATGTGGAACGAGTCGGCCACAAGGGCGAGTGAATGAACGGCATAACCTGTGTTAGAGCTGGGGATGGTAGATCTGGTTTTGTATCGTTTCGTCAGTACTCACCAACAATGGCTTCAAGCAGGAAGAAGCAAGTGTCGATAATCAGCAACGCAATCATGCGGATTTCCCGCGACGTGAGCGACATGTTGTTGAATAGTGTGTGATATGAGAACGGACTGGTCGGGGAGAAAATTCAGTTGGTCGAGGCCTTCTTATTATGAGTGTTTCTCTCTTTCTCTTTTTTTAATTTTTTTTTAGGTGTGTGCGTGTGTCCGTGTCCTGGGTGTTGACTGTATCAAAATAGCCAAAAGCATATAGCCGTACAATTAGCTCGGGGTCTTTGTATCAAGGTCGTGTCTGAAGCGCAAATTTATGCACATAAAAGTCTATGGAACTTGAGCGTTGGAGAATATTGACAGATGAAGGGAACCATCTCTGGGAGACCTCACGCACGTGTATACACATCACACAATAACTACAGACTGGCCCGGTAGCTCCAACTACATTCCGTGGACTACCCCGCTGACTTGGCAAGCCCACCTACACACAGAGTTCTGTGCTAGATCCCCGGAGGTGCGTCAGCATGAAAAGGCGGATAAGGGGAACCATGTTCGTTATTAAGGGGCGGCTCTTGTTAGGCTTGTTTCTGGACATGCGTGCGTTCATCGCAATGGTGTCGCAAGGGTGTCCAAAGGGTGTCGTAAGGGAGTCTCAGGTCTGGTGTTGAACCACGGAGTAAGGTGGTGTTGATGCTGAGTCATTTGACACCACACAACTATTTCACAATCGTCACAAGTCGCGGTGTCTGGGGTCAAGCTTTGGGCTCTTGCAAGGTCTGTCCTTTCTTTCTCGTACTGCGATCCACGCTGCAAGGTCGCATGGACATTTAGGTTGACAATGGGAGCTGGGGCTGCCAAAACCACGCTAAACGATCGGTTCTGGTAAACATGCTCTTTCGGGCTCGATAGCAGCGCTCTTCTGGGGTGCTATTGATACAGGTCACCGGTCCTGGCAGTCGCATATGGCCGCCCAATCAACACGGCGCTCACAAAAGTTTCGACTCTATTTCCTATGTGCGTCTCGGGAAAGCATAAAGGCAAGGCAAGAAATGTGTGTCACGTTTAGCTGGAGAACGGCGGCAGTGACGACAAGACACATCATTGGAGAGCAGTAGCTCCAGAGTGCATTGCGGCGAAGAAAGGAAGTAGAGAAATAAACTACAAACCAAAAGATAATCGCATCTGATAACTCCAATCTGGTGTGACGTGATGAGTTCTTTCTTGGCTTTGGAGCAACAAGTGGACATGGTCTTGTTGTCAAGTAGGGAACACATGCCGATAACTCTTGTTCAACAGACATTCTACTATAGACACAAGCTCGGGAAAAAGTCGGAACAAAGTCGGGACAAGCTCGAGTCAAATTTTAGCATCTGATAAATTAAACCGTGGACGATAATCAGTGAAAATCTTGCACTTGTGTGATCACACGAGCAGAACGACGAAGAAGCCAAGGTTAAACTGCTCCTAGCTGCACCTCTAGTCCTAATCAATTCGCTGGTCTTCGGAAGCCGTTGCTGGTCCATCCGCACGGCCTACTGTTGCTCCAAGCTTGTTGCTTTATCCGAATGGGGTGCCTTGTTCCTTTCAGTCATGCATCATCTGCTCCAGGAGATGGATGAAACTGTAATAAAGACGTCAACGGGAACCGTTTTGGATGATGGGGCCCATCAACGACAGCTACAGAGGACTTGTAGCAACTCCAACAGCCCTCAGTCATGTCCCGGTCACTCGAGAAAAAGAAAAGCCTCCTGAATGCCATAAGCTTAGCCTCGGACTAAAAAAACTAACCCGGAGTTAGTTTTAACATGTTTCTACAGCTCTTGGCGAGGCTCTAGAGAGGCAATTGTGGCCCTGACATGCCTCTGGCAAATTTCGGAGTCTGTCGGAGTCCGAATCCCGCATATCTCGCTCGGACGAATTAAATTTCTCGATAACACGCTAAGCGTCTGCATGTGGTTGAGCACCACAACCCGAACTCTAAATGCCCACCATCCATCCATCATTCATCACAGACACCGACGATCACGTGACACCCGGGGGATGACAAGTAAGCTTCGACAGTAGACGCACACCACACAAACGAAACAACCATGTCGTTGACGACCAGAGATGATGTACGAAATCGGCTGCGGCCTTTTGGAGTCATGTGAGTATGCAGAATGCAGCAGTCGTGTGATTGAAGAGGTCATGGGGTTCCCTCTTCACCATAACACCAGTGAGCCATTAACCAACCACAACACCACAGCCACACTAACACAGATTCGAATCAACATTAACTGATCTCATTAAGGGTATTCGAGCCGCCAAAGATCTGCCCGCCAAAGAGCGGTTCCTCAAACAGGCAGTGTCCGACTGCCACCAGGAGGCCCGAAACCAGGATCTGACCGTCAAGACACTCGCCATCCTCAAACTGGCATATCTGGAGATGCTGGGTTACGACATGTCGTGGGCCTCCTTCCACGTCCTGGAGGTCATGAGCTCGCCAAAGTTCCAACAAAAACGAGTGGGCTACCTCGCTGCCATCCAGTCCTACCGTGACGACGACGATGTGTTGATGCTTGCGACCAACCTCCTTAAACGTGATCTGACGTCAAGCTCGCCGGTCGAGGTGTCCGTGTCTCTATCCGCAATCGCCACCATTGTCACCCCTTCACTCGCTCAGGACGTGCACCCCGAAATTGTCAAAATGCTGTCCCATTCGAAACCCTACATCCGAAAGAAGGCAGTGCTGGCAATGTATAAGATCTTCCTCCAGTACCCAGAGGCACTGCGGACGTCGTTCTCTCGTCTCAGAGATCGACTCGATGATTCAGACCCCTCAGTTGTTTCTGCCACAGTCAACGTGATCTGTGAGCTCGCCAAGAAGCACTCAAAGAACTACGTGCCCCTGGCCCCACAACTCTACCAGCTGCTGACCACGTCCTCCAATAACTGGATGATGATTAAGATCCTCAAGCTGTTCTCGTCGTTGGCACCCATTGAGCCTCGGCTTAAACCTAAGCTGTTGCCTCAGATCATGACCCTGATCCAGTCCACCTCGGCACTCTCCCTCCAGTACGAGTGCATCAACTGCATTGTGAGCGGAGGCATGCTAGGAGAAGACGACCACGATGTGGCTGGTGTCTGTGTCGAGAAGCTGTCGTCTTTTGTGAACCAAGGCGACCAGAATCTCAAGTACGTGGGTCTTTTAGCGCTTGGGAAGATCGTCAAGGTCCATCCCATTCTTGTTGGAAAGCTGCAGGGTGTCATTCTGGAATGCCTCAAGGAAAACGCCGATTCCACGATCCGAGAACGAGCACTGGAGCTTGCCAACGATCTTGCATCGGAACACAATGTTGAAACCATTGTGAACCTGCTGCTTTCCCAGCAACTTACCCACGCGTCCATTTCATACATTCTGGACATGTGCTGCAGAGACACATACTCACTCATTTCCGACTTTGAGTGGTTCTTGAATGTGCTCAAGAAGCTCGCACTGGTCGATTTCCCTCTCGAAGACCCTGCTCGGATCGGAGAAACGCTCCGAGATCTGTGCATGCGAGTCCCCGATATGCGAGAGGAGATTACCGGAGTTTGCTACGAAATATTCACAGACGGAGGTGTGTATCTCCGGAACCCCGGCGTCCTGCCTCCCGTTCTCTTCTGTCTCAGCGAGTACCCCATGCATCGACAAAAGGACATTTTGGACTTTTGCCTCAACTCATACTCGCACGTCAGAGAGAACAGTGGCAGCAGCAACAATGCTGTCGATCTGGCCGTTTGTGTATGCATCGTGAAGGTGTTTGGCAAGTTCTGCGAGGGCATCATCTGGTCATCTCCCAACGAGCTTTATGTTAAAAAGACTGTGACCAATGTGATCAAGTTTTTGTCGTCATATCTTGCGTCGCCGGACTACGAGCTGCAGGACTTTGCCACCCAGTTTTCCGAGCTCTTCAAGGTCATTTCCGAGTCTCTGGAGGAGGAGGGTGTGCCTGTGCTTCTTACCGAGGTGCTGCCGTCTTTCTTTGCATATGAACTGAATCCTGTGGCACCAGACACTCAGAAGAGAATTCCATTCTTAGATCTGGAGCTCCCTCCCGAGCTTGAGCAGACCCTGGAAGTGGAATTCTCTGACATTGAGGACGAGGAGGTTTATGTTGAGGAGGAGTTTACCCCCCAATTTGCTTCTACGGTCAGTGGAGTGCAGAAGGAGAGTCTACTGGATGCTCGTAAGGAGCGACTAGAGAAGCAGAAGGATGATCCGTTCTACATTTCTCGAGACACTACGCCCAATCCTCTCAAGGACGAGCAGGTGGACGTCGATTCCATCCCCGTGGTGGACCTGCAGATCAACGAGACATCGATAAAGACTCCGCCCATTCAGACCAAGCCGAAGCGCAAGATTAAGATCATCAAGGACGAGCAGATTGATGGCGAGATTGTGCCCAAGTTGGAGGTGACCAAGAACGTCAAGAAGAACGTTTTGATTCGGCCCAACCAGCTCGACCAGTTTGAGCTGGAGGACGACAAGGACTCGCCCGAGGTTGCGCAGATGAAGCAGGAGCTCAAGGACAAGAAAGATAAGAAGGACAAGAAGGACAAGAGGGACAAAAAGGACAAGGAAAAGAAGCCCAAGAGCAAGGCCAAGAAGGAGGGGGCTGATGGCGAGGTCAAGGAGAAGAAGCGCAAGAAGCGGGTTGCCGTCATCGAGTAGATCATAGATGTATTGTAATTAACCATACACTTGTACTGTAGCTCAAGCATGGCGGTACAGTCTCGTATCGTATCGTAGCAAGCTGGTTGTGCTCGTTCTAAAACTCTAATGCATGTATCACGTGTACTAATTTAGATAGGGTTCCTATCAAGTTTTCTGTGGCGTTGAACAAGCATGCTGTCAGTAAGATTAGGACAATCAGTAAAGGGAAGGTGCAAGTGCGAGAACCTTGGGAGGAAGGAGAAGAGCACCGGCCCAAAATAATTGGGACGTAACGTAAACCAGCGGGGAAAAAAAAGAGAGACCCTGGTGTTTGGAGTGCGTGTTTGTGTCACTTGAGACGCTCGCGTGTAGCATTTTGCCGCGGCAGACCCGCGCATCTGACTGGTCATTTCCACTCAACAATGGGCAGCCCCACACATACGTTGCAGGTGATACTATAGCCTGTACTGTATCATCTGTCCCGTAACCACAGCAGCAGCGCTCAATACTCCGCACTCTATACATTTAAGCTTCTGGGGTTCCTGATAAAGCCTTCGCCACCTAGACTTCAGTGTGTCTTCTCTCTCACCTCTCAGACAACAACAAACACACACCACACCGACACCGACACGCTCTACATATTTTAAGTCTCCTTACAATGTCTCCCACCACGGGCGAAGCTGACAAGACCACACCTTCTACCGTTCCCGCCAGCTCTGCGATTTCGCAGACCAAGGGACGATGTTCCTTCACGCTCTTTTCCAGACGAAACGACTGGACTCGCAGCGGCGAAGTGGACTGTGTCTCTTTCGAGCCTGATTCTATGAAACCATTCGACGTGGAGCTCACCGACGCGCAGAAGCAGACCCTGGGGTCACCCAGAGGCCACAAAAAAAACATCCATGTCCCCAAGGCCTTCAACCTCGTGTCTCGCAACCACGCCAGCTTTGTAGCCACGGATAAACAGCTGTTTCTGTTTGAGAGCAAGGCAAAGTACGGCACCAAGCTGGACGGCCAGAAGTTGCAGCTCAACACCTTTTATCCCCTGAAGGAAGGCTCGCAAGTGACCCTGTCCCCTGACTGCAGGGCACACGGCACCGCCTTTGATTTTGAGGTTGAGAGCATCTCCTTTGGAAAAGCTCCTGCCACTCCTTCTGTGACCTTTTCTTCCTCGAGCATTGTTTACAAATACGACAGCGAGGTTTCCCAGGGCACCAGCATGGACTCTTCCCCCAACGATGCCATCGTTATTGACATTGATTCCGACGATGAAGATACTGGCGAACAATCCGACATTGAAGTCGTTGGTTGTGCCGTTTCGTCGGGTGACAACGGGGAAGGGCAAGTTGGAGATGCTCAGCGATGCCACTGGTCCGAAGAAGACGAAGAGGATCGCAACGAGGACGATGACGAAGAAGACGAAGAAGATGATGAAGACGAAGAAGACGAAGAAGACGAAGAAGACGATGAAGACGATGAAGAGGAAGAAGAGGACGAGGACGACTCTCAAAACAGAAACCAACGTTGGCTCGCGGCTTCTCATGATTCCGATGATGACAAGGATCATGATGTTGAGCCGGCCACTCTTGTTGAGCTTCTCAGATCGGCTCCCACTGCTCGTGCGCCTGATGAAAATCCCCATCAGATTTTTTTCAAACCTAGAAGAAGCAACCAGGACACCCTTTTTGGCTACGACACCTTGCCAGCTCACGAGCCAGGATCGTTCCAGACACCTGAGAATCAGTTCGATAACTCAGAGGAAGCCTTCCTATTTGAGGAGGATGAGAGAGCTGAATCTTTGCTAAAGGTACATGAAGCTCCTGCTGAAAGCTCCATTGTGAAACCTGCAGATACCTCCGAGGTCTCCGTTGGTCAGGAGTCAACCAAGATACCTGTTACAAAGTCCAACGAGGTTGCCATGGATATGGAGTCCACCAAGGTCTCTGTCAAGCCGGTATCTACCACCGTCTCAGTCGAGGCTACAACCCAAACTCCCCTTATCGAGAAGTCCTCCATCATCGATATGTCAACCGTCCAAGAGCCCGCCGAGAGCCCAGCCTTCCAGGACGCTTCTACCAACCTTCCCACCGCCAAGGAGACAATCATTCACGAGCCTGCTGCCACAGCCCCGGAGCCTCTTCCCACAGCGGCTTTCCAGGAGCTGGCATCCATTCCTCGAGTTCGTAAGCGAACCCGGGAGGAGATGGTGAAGGAAGAGGAGGATCTGGATGTACCTCTGCCTAAGAAGTCCACCGAAGGCCGACGAATTGGGCAGATCTTCACCGCCGTTGCAGCTGGTATGCTTGTGGGAAGTATCGGCACCGTGACTGCTCTGGCTAGCATGTCCACTTAGTGTCACCGTTTTATTTGCTAACTGAGTAATTACGCGTAAAGAATTATTTATATGTATGACGTATGCTATGTGTATCTATGTGTATGCTATAATATATGCTAATAGGTGGGTTATGAAAGACATTCTCTCTAATCCAGCAGTCCCTGCTCGTTGAGATGGTTAATGAATGCAAGTAGAGTTTCGTTCTCCTTCATAATGTCGGTCCGGAAGAGCTTCTTGTACAGCGGCATCTTTTTGGGTGGCTGGTACCGTCTGTAGACCTTTGAAGCGTGGTCTGCCGGAGGTGCAGGTGCTCCACCTGAGCTTGCAGAGCCCGTTGCAGTGGCCCCTGATTTGTCGTGTGAGAATCTGCACTTGTCTCCGAATCTGCATTTTCCTGTTTTCATGAAGAAAGAACATTTTTTGGGGCCAGATTCTTTGTTGCTGTTGTTTGCGGTTGGCAGTTTGTCCATATCGCCTGGGTTTGTCTTCTGTTTCTTAGTTTGTTGTTCCCGTTCCTTTTCCTGCTTCTCCTGCACCCGTTTGCGCGTGGGCCAGTTTTGGCGTCGTTCTGCTCTCCATTTCTCAATGTCCTCTGGTGTGATAAGCAGCACTGATGTTCCCTGGATAGGGACAGGGCCATTAGCCGCCAGCTTTTTAGCTAGCAGCGACTCCTCGTCTTCTTCGTCTTCCTCGCGGTGTTTAGACGTGAATGTGGGTGTGGGGGCTGTGCCGCTGTTGCTTGGTGGCGGAGGCGGAGGCGGTGCGTAGAAATAGGACATGACTCGATGTTGTGTGGTCTTGTTTTCCTATTGTCAAAATAAATTTTGAAAGTCGATGTGGATTATTTGAGGGTGCATGTGAGCTGCAACATTTCTGAACTATGCTCTGACTCAGCGTTTTTCCACTCTAGGTTTTGGCGACCCCCAACCGCTAGCCCCTCACACTAATTATTGACTCTTAGGTTTCCGCGCGAATACTTCCCTCTCCTCAACACCAAAAACAGACACAGACACACAATCATACACAGCCATGTCCAACGGTAGCATCATCAGCAGAACGACCAACTACATCTTCTCCAAGGACTTTGTGAAATGTGAGTATTCCGGTAGCATTGTGTTGATTGGCGGAGCGGTGGACATTTTTCGGACACACACAGACAGGAGTGAACTGTTGAGCCATGTTGGTCTAACGATCGATTCGTTGCAGATTGTCTGTTGCGACAATAAGATGCCAGGTGTCGGTATTGCTCCACAAACACGAAAGACCAACAATACACAAGCGACAAGAAACCAATGTACCCCATGTTGTCAATCTTGTCAATCACCCCGGACGTTGATTTGTTCACATCAAGGACTTACAACGGAGATAGCGTATCTATTTGCTCCAAGTCGATCTCTTTTTGTTCAACACTAACACAGACATTTGCTCCACCCACTTTTGGGGACCCGTTTCCAACTTTGGAATCCCCGTGGCTGCGGTGATGGATCTTAAGAAGGACCCCACCAAAATCTCCGGCCCCATGACCGGCTCTCTGATTGTCTACTCTCTGGTTTTCATGAAGTACGCCACCGCCGTGACCCCCTGGAACCCTCTGCTGTTCGGCTGCCACTTTGTCAATGAGTGTGCTCAGCTCGGCCAGGGCGCTCGATACGTCAACTACTGGTACTTGGGCGGACGAGATAAGGCTCTCAAGGACGGAACCGCTGCTCCTCTCCCCGAGAAACAGTAGATAGATACACGTACGTAGAAGGAAGATTAAAAGTGATTGATTGATTGATAAGTCTGTTTGGCCATTGGCGAGAAGCGTAGTCGTGTTTAGGACAGAGACAACGGTTAGAGTGAGACATATTGAGCTTAGCGTATTTTGAATGTTCCATACAAGAATGGCCCAGATATCGTATCGGCGTTAAAGATAAATCAGACTGGCGGAGTTCAGTATGGAAAGCGATTGAAGAGAGGGGGCGCGGCGGGTTCTATGTACTCGTATTCTACTGGAAATGCTTGTCCAATGCTATGGGGCGCATATTTCATTGAGGCACTTCCCAATAGCCGAGATAGGTGTGGGGGTCAGGTACGCACGCGGGCGGAGTTGATGGGGTTGTTTAGGGCTTCATGAATGTGAGAGCAGTGACGTAATGGACGTTGAATTCCCCATTGCCGTATTTGCATGATTGAAGAACCTCTGAGCTACTGCCTTTTTTTTTTTTTTTTACTCTCTGGTCGGCAACTGTTAACTAAAGTCGGTCAAAACTGACAGTACTAGTGGAGCCTATAGTTGAGTAAACGAACACAGAATTGACAACGACATAACTAGCCTGTTTGAAGATTGGTTTCTATTAAAAGTATTTGGGACACATAATCGCAACGTTAGAAGCACCGCTTGTCTATGTATTACCCACAAGAGCCATTAGAAACCTCTCTCAAGTGGGTCTCCTTTTGCTTACATAACAAGCCGATAGCTTCCTCTCCGCTTGATGCGCCTACAAGTACAGTACTAGTATGACGGTACATACTGTTCCAATCTGAGCCATATATCAGACAAACTGGTCTATTCTACATCAGGCCGTCCACAGATCAAGTGGTTAACCAGATGTGGTCATCATTTCAGGTCTCCTCCCCTACTCCACTGTGCCGTTATCAGTACGCTGAATTATTAATGGCCTGCGCAGAGAATGTTACACACACTACTCGACCAGACACGAGTAAAGAAAAGTGATCTGGACCACATATATTTCATTTCATCAATCAGCGACTCTCCTGTGTGAGCTGCTACTTGTAACATCTCTGCCTCACAGCTTCTCAGTAGAGAGTTGTACTGTACCCAAACCCTGATACGCCTCCGAACCTAAGTGTGAGTGCAACTGTGAATTGCACTTGACAACCAGCAACCGCAACGAAACAAAATGTCTGCTCAGGCATTGAAGGAGTTGCTAAAGCGATGCAAAGAGGCAATCTCTAGCGGGCGGTTCCCCGACGCTATTGAGGCTGCCAACGATGCTCTCGAGGTCGATGAGGAAAACTACCAGGCGTGAGTACAACCTGTGACACGGATCATTGGTGATGTGACATGGTGAATGGTATAACCAAACTAACACAGAACACTGCTGCTAGGAAAGGCTCAATATCTCAACAAGGACAACACCGCCGCTTGCGCCGCCTACGACAAGGCTATCAAGCTGGAGCCCACCCAGCCCCTGGCGTACATTGGCCTGTTGCAGGCATGCAACGTTCGATCCAATGGCAAAAAGTACCTGGCCACCCTGATCGAGGTACTCAAGATTCTGTGCGGACAGGACCACCAGACCAAGGCCAACGACACCTACTGCAAAAGTGAACGGGCGATCTACTCACACGCCACCCCCGAGACACAGCTGGAGTTCACCAAACTGCAGATCCCCGGCTCGCCGCTCTTTTCGCTCATGGAGTCTGTCATGCCTAAACCGGCCTTTACCTACGAGAAGCTCGTTAAAATGGAGGAGGAGCAGGAAAAGAAGGCGCTCAACAAGGCACTGGCTGATGCTAACTTCACCATCACAGGCAAGAAGAAACGAACGCCCCAGCAAGTGCGGTACGACTTCCACAGCAAATCCAACCTGCCATTCTTGTACCAGGAGCTCATCAACTGGACCAACAATGACGAGCTGCGAATCGAGACAGAGAAGAAACTGCTCAAGTGCCGAGCAGATCTCTTGGCCAGTGCGCCTCCGGGCAAGGAGAAGGAACAGCTACATATGGAGGTCTCGGATATGGTCGATGGTGCCGTGGTCATCAAGGCACGCGACTCACTGGCCTGGGACCTGTATCTCGAGTGGCTTGATCCCCGGGATCTTGGCGACCTCCCCAGCGAGACAGTCAATGAGTACCTGGACTTTTTCTCTGAGACTGGTCTCCACAAGATTCTCAGTGGATACATTTATTCCGACATCTCCAGCATGGTAAGAACCAAGAAGGAGGACAAAAAGGACAATGAAGAAGGCGAGGATGGAGCGAAGGATGGAGAGGCTGCCGAAGATGGTGATATTGAGAAGACTGCAAAGGTCGACAAAAAGGAACCTAAGAAAGAGCCCAAGGAGCCCAAAAAGGAGCCTAAGGATTCCAAGGAAAAGGACGCTGCCGAAGGCGATGATGACCTCACTGGACTGGAGGAGAAGGACGGCGGCAATGACGAGGTTCTGTCGGAGGACATCACAACATACCTTTCCGAGGGTCTCAAGCAGGACCCCAAGTCGATCCTGGGTCACCGAATATCTGCTCAGTATTACTTCCACCACAAGGAGTATGCTGAGGCGATTCGAATGTGTCTTTCCGGTATTGAGACTGCCAACAAGTACCACGACACCTGGCTAAGTCATGTGAAGAACGCTCTCAGACATTTCAGCATCATTCTAGGAACCTGTTACATCTTCTACCAGGCCCCTAAGAACTTTGACAACGCTCTGGAGATCTTCAACGCAGTTCTCGAGGAGGAGCCCAAGAACGTGGCTGGTCTCGTTGGTAAGGGCCTGATTCTGGTAGAGAAAAAGCAGTGGTCAGAGGCCCGAACCCTGCTCCAGGAGGTTGTGGACAAGAACCCCGACAACAGCCAGGCTCTTTTCGAGCTGTCGTGGTGCTGTGTCTTGATGGGTGACTATGAACAGGGCCGAAAGGGTCTTGAGCATGTAATTGGCCTTGTCACCGGTTCCGACTCTGTTTCCCGGGACCTCCGAGCTCAATGCTATTGGCGAATTGGCCAGTCTTACGAGAAGGAGGGTCATGATGATACACAAGTCATTTTCCAGGCATACCTCAAATCGCTCACGGAGAACCCCAACTTTGCTCCCTCATACACTGCTCTTGGTTTGCTGTACGCTGACTCTGTTGGCGATCAGGCCCGAGCCTCTAAGTGTTTCTACAAGGCTCTGGAGCTCAGTGCACAGGAAATCAAGGCTGCCGAGAGACTGGCCATTGAGTTTTCTGACAAGGGAGACTGGGATGCTGTTGAGGTGATTGCGAACCGAGTCATTGGTGTGATGAAGGACAAGGTTGCGTGGCCCTACAGAGCCCTCGGTATATCATATCTCAACAAGAACGACTTTGGCAAGGCCATCGTCAACTTCCAGTGGGTTCTTCGAGTCGATTCCACTGACGTGAATGCTTGGACTGGCCTCGGAGAGGCATATAAGAAGGCAGGACGTCTGACGAGTGCTCTGAAGGCCCTTGAGCGTGCCAACCAACTCATTTCCAAGCAGGAGGGCGATGATTCTACTGATAACCAGCTCGACAAGTGGATTCCTGGCTATCTTGCTGCTGTTTCTCATTCCGAGCTTGCAGAGTACTCCGCTGCTCTGGAGATTCTTGAGAACATTCTCCAGCACCATCCCCACGAGAACATTGTTCTGCGAGCTCTGCAAACCACACTCAACAGCGCTGCTACTGCATCTATCACCGATGGACTCTACGTTGAGGGCGCCAATTACGCCATCAAGTCTCTGGAGTCGTGTGTCGTGAGTGTTGGCCTTGGCCACCAATCTCAAGATTTGTGGAAGTCTATTGGTGACGCTTGTGCGGTCTTCCTACGAGTGGAGAGTCAGATCCAGCGGTTCCCCATCGAGCTGGCGAAGAAGATCTTTTCCGGCATGTCTGCAGACAAGGTACGGGAGTTCAACAACTTTGCCGAGCGAAACTTTTCGTTCGACTCCAACCACGCTCTTCTCGTTCAGATTGGAGAGCATGACGGCCAGCCTCTGGACGGCGCTGATTTGGAGTACCCTACTCCCGTGACTCAGGAGTCCATCAACGTGCTCTACCTGACTGCCTTCAAATACTCTCTTCTGTGTGCTCGTCCCGACCCCTCCACCCAGGCTGCAGGATGGTATAATCTCGGTTTGGCCGAGCTAGGTCTGGCCCTCAAGGCTCAGGACAAGAGCGACGACAACCTCAACCTGGCTGCTTCTCAGTGTCTCAAGCGAGCCCTGCACATCGAGCACAAGAACGCCGACATTTGGAACGCATTTGGTGTGGCTTCTGTTCGGCTCAACGTTCGAGTCGCTCAGCATTGTTTCATCCGAGCTCTGACTCTCAACAACCGGGCTCCTCAGATCTGGGCCAATCTTGGTGCTCTGTACCTCGGTCAAGGCGACCTGGAGCTAGCCAAGGAATCCTTCAGTCTAACCCAGACCATGGATCCTGAGTTCGTTGAGGCCTGGCAGGGTCTTGGTATCATTGCCAGCGTTACTGGAGATGAGAAGAAGGCCCGGGCAAACTTCGAGCAATCCTTTGTGGTTTCCAAGGGTGTTCAGGACCTCGCCAAGCTTCTTTACGGACTCTCAGTGTTCGAGAAGGTCAGCTGCACTGGTTCTCGAGAAGTTGCAGTTGAGAACGCTACTCTCGCCTTGGACAAGCTGCTCAAGGCTAAACCCAACTCCAAGCTCGGTCTGCTGCTACGAGGATCTCTTTTGGAGTTCCAGGGTGACTACGAGGAGGCTGAGATTCAAATCACCAACCTCTGTAACGCTCTTGAGGTGCTCTACGAGGAACTGGAGTCTGATCATGACCTGGAGGATTTTGCCAAGGCCAAGTCTCAGCTCGCTCGAATTGCTCTTGGTATGCACGACTTCGAGGCTGCTATTCAGCACGCGGAGTTTGCTCTGGATGTTGCCCAGGAGCGACCCAACCTCACCAAGACGCGGCTCTCTGCACAAATCACGTGCGGCCTGGCCCACTTTTTTATCTCGCAGTTTGACGAGTCCATCTCGTGTTTCCAGCAGGCTCTTGAGGAGTCTGATGAGGATCAGGAGATTGTGGTTCTGCTTGTGCAGGTTCTGTGGGCCAAGGGCGGTGAGGCCCGTGATGTGGCTCGAGACCAGCTCTACGACTCTGTGGAGCACAAGGGATCCAATCTGCAGATTGCTCTTGTTCTTGGAGCTATTGGTCTGGTGGAGGACAATTCCGACCTGCAGGATGCTGCACTTGATGAGCTTAACGGCCTGTCTCTGGATCTGAAGCTCAAGGACACTGGCAACAAGCTCGAGTGGGTGACATCACTACTTGCTAAGAGTCTCACGGGATCCGATTTTGAGGCTGCCCTGCCCTGGAGACGGTCTGCGTTTGTCAACCACTCCGAGTACAAGGTGTGGAGCCATGTGGACAAGAAGATTGCTCTGCAGGTGGCCAACCAGAACGCTCTCAACCGAGCAAGCTTTGACTACACACAGCTTTCTGATGCTCTGGTGGATATTGGTACCCTGGAATGTGCCCAGCGAGCTCTCTTCCTGCGGCCCTCTTCTGTTGACGCGTGGAAGACTCTTGCTGGGTGTGTTTAAATTAGATTGAGATAGATAATGGATATATGTTGGACTGCTGTAAGAGTAAAATAGAACGTTTTACTTATTTATTTCAATCTCGTAGTTAACATGAAAAAAAGTAGAGAGTATTTCTAGATGTCAGTATATATCTGATCACCAGTGTTCCCGTCCGACCAACTAGTTTCCTCTGAGGTCGTTCTCGCCACATTCGAAATTGCATCCTAGGCCACTTCGGTACTCTCTGATTCCTTGGCTCCAAAGGGTCAACTTCTCCATATGACTGTGGAGCACCTTCTTATCGTTCCACACGTCATTGATGTAGCTCTTATTGAGACGCCGGACATCTTTTCCTGTGAAGTCATGTAACACTTTGATCAGTTGAACAAAAGTGGTTCTGTTAGTAACTAGTACGTTGACATATTGTTCATTGTCGCAATTGTTACCAGTTTGCACAACACAACTGATTACGTATGTTTGCCTTCCATTGTTGGAAGGACACTTAATGTCAGGCTCAGGGATAACATGGCTGCCCACATCGAAAACCTCCTTTCCTTTGTATGTGTCCTTTCGGCATCCGCTCACATCGTCCTCTTCCTCGATCTCTTCCACGGCGTCTTCCTCGATCTCTTCCTCGACATCCTCTTCCTCGATCTCTTCCTCGGCCTCTTCCTCTCCGACGTCACTAGGTACCTCGTTTCCAGAAGCAACCAAAAATTCCTCAGGAACTCTCTGGTTGTCATTATCGGTCAAGTCTCCATCAGGGCCAACCACCCCGTCAGTGCTTTCCTCTGCACCAGAGTCACCCTCTTTAGCAGAGTTTTCCTCATCGCCAGAGCTTTCGGCCACATCGGAGACTGTCTCTTGCTCATTATCCGGGGAGGAAACTTCAGCAGCAGTGCGAACAGCAGTCTCTGCCGCGGCGACAAGAGCATCAAACTCATCAGATACATCAGTGGCATCATAATATTCCTCCTCGGAATTATTGGCGGAAGGATCCTCGTCAGCGACAGGCCTGTCGATGCTAGGCTCTCCCGGGCCATCATCGTCGCTCTTGTCGGAAGGAGAAGGCTCGTCTCTTTTTTGACGCTTTCTACCTGTGCTGATTGAGTCCGGTAGCTTGCGCTTGTTGGAATGTTCAACGGCGGGGGAAGGCTCTCGTGAAGAAGGGGCGGAAAGAGAGGCTGCTCGCGCCGCTTCAATGGTACGACTAACACTGGCTGCGATAGCAGAAATTGCTGCATCGGGGAGCGGTCGGTTATCAGAAGCGGTGCTTCGGGCTCGGGAAGAAGACGCAACAGGGGGGTCTTCAAGAGACGTGTGTGGTACTTCTGGCGGCGCTGTGGCTTGAGGTCGGAGTGCACGGACTCCAGGACGGGAACGTCGACGAGGGTTGCGTCGGGTAAGGGGGCGGATCTCCGTTTGAAGTTCTTCTGCTTCTTGTCGATTTTCGGGAGCGGGTGAGATACGGCTGGCGTTATTGATGGTGGCCCACATAAGCATTGGGGGTGGCTTGCGAGTCATTGGTGAGCGAATGGCGATTGATCTGGGGGTTGGTGCTTGTTGATGTTGGTTTGTGGAGTTTTTATAGGACCACCCGCTCTGCTTTTATAATCATTTTTTCCGTGTGGTTCACATTGATTCGTTTGGTGAAGATGGTGTGGCAGAGACGATTGCATGAAAAAACACAAGGACAACCGAGGCGGCCCCAAAGTCCGAAGTGGGGGCTGTGATGGTTTACAACCATTCTGTATATGAATATAGTGCTTCATGTATGACAATGTCGTGGGTGTCAGCTAAAGGATCAGACTGTACCATATAGCGCTTCACTCGTATGTACTGTACTGTACCATTACGATACTGTGTTATCTAGATAATCTTTTTCAACTGTAACAGTAAGGTTCGTTATCGGAGAAACTAAAAAAACAGAAAGGGGGAATATACATACACACAAGCACTTGAACCATGCTCCATTATTTTCAGCCGCTAGAAAGGATGAAACAACCCCAATAACATCTTGCGTATGTTTTTCTGGAACTGTTTTACCCACTTGACGGCCTCAATCAGCCCCACCCAACGGAGTTTCAGCGCAGTGTGTCGCACTTGCATGAGATGAGGTTGTGACAGCAGGAGGTACGAATCTGTGGACCGGGTTGAATAGCGGTTACTTGAGAAGAGGGAATCTTGAGGTGCAGTACTGTACATTAGTAACACAGTACATACTATAGTAACATCTGTCAGTCTCCTTGGGAACTTACGTCTACTCAGGTGCCTCATCGCAACAGCCAAGTATCTAATTGAGCGCACCCAGACCAAGGTGAAGCTTACTTCCAAGACAGGCAGGCCAAACGTGCAACTGAAACAAGCCCCAGAAAAGCCACACGGCGACACCAAGAGAGTGAGTATCGTATGGTAGCTACTTGTATTGGGGCATTTCAAAAAGAGAAACCAAAGAACTGAAACAGCCCCTCCGCTCTTGATACAGAACTACCCTCCCATCGATTTGAGCACAATCATTTCGGGAATCTTCCTCAAGAACGACAAGGCTCATTGAGGTTGGGGAGTCTCACAGTACGGCATCGTGTTGTAATCTCCACGGTTGGTTTTTAGTGAGATGCTTCTTTAGCGTCGTTGAAGGCGTACTTTGATATCTACAGTATCTCTATCGAAGAGGACGCAACTGTACTGTATGTACTCCAGAACAACCCCGCCAGAACAACCCCTCCAGAACAGCCCCTCCAGAACAAGCCTCGGTGGTAGAGTAGAGTCGCGGCAACTCTTGGTGTTGTGATGTTGTCATTTGATCAAGCTGTCGCGGTGCTGACATCACACACTCCAAGGCCTTCTCTCTGGGCCAGAGCCACAGTTCTACTTGTACACATGATACTCCACAGAACAGGATACTGCAGTACAGAAAAGTGTAGCTACTGTAAATACAGTATATATATACACGTACTGCACATCTACAATATAGCTACTTCTGCCATTATACAGTAAGATCATTATTATACACAAAATCATCTCCAAGAACCAGTACAGTGGCTGATTTCTGGCCAATTAACCGCCATTCGTCTGAGAATGAAGCCAAACGTTGGTACAAGAGTTGGTGCCAACAGGGGCTCGGTAAGCGTGAATCCCCGAAGAATGCAAGGTCGCGTTTCTCTGATAGGCACCGGCTCTTTCGTGTGTGTCCTCTAGATCATTGTAGAAAAAAATGTGCATACTTCTCAGTTCTACACCAGGAAACCTCTCACCCAACCTCTCGATCAATTTCATGTAAGTGGTTCCCTTTGAGATCAGGACATCCAAGAACTCTTGCCCTTCCACGTGCAAACTGATAGGGTAGTAAGAATCACTTCTGTCTAAGGGATGAACACAAGAAAAGGCAATATCTAGTTCACCGTGATCCTCCTCTTCCTCCCTTCCGTTCTCTTCGTCTTCGTTCTCTTTCTCTTTCTCCTTTTCTCCCTCCTCCTCCTCCTCCTCTTCGTCAGTGTCTTGGTGGAGAGCTCGGGCTCCCTCCCTAGAATAAACAATGTCTGAATCATCATCGGACAGCGGAGTGTGACGTTCAATGGATTCTGTAGTATTCATCTCCTCATCACTGATTTGCCCCTCTTCCTCATCAGGAGGTTGGGAAGAAACTTCAAGCAGCGAATCAACAGTGGACTGAGTAGAAATATTTGCAGCCGTTCCGGTGGTAGTTCCTCCTAGACTTCGAGAAGCATGGTCCTCGTCCAGGACAGAACCGAGAGAGTCGGGAGCCTGGTTGTCCACTCTCTCCTCTTCGGGGTCTTTGCCAGAGGCACAAACTTTTGGACGCTTAGGAGATGGCTCAGGGGCGTCATCATCGGATTGATGTCGTTTGCTGGCGGTTGGGGCTTCAGACACTGGAAGGGTGTGTGGACTCTCGCTGAGAGACTGCTCGGGCGCAGGAGAAGCGGAAGTGAGACGGCGAGCATCTGCTGTCAACATATCCATCCGCTTCTGCTTCACTTCATCAGCGTGCCCAGAGGCAAGTAGTCGAGGAAAAGACGAAGAAAGCACAATCTGTCTTGGGGTGGCACGCTTTTTCACAGGAGTAGCTGGGTCCTTGGAGGAAGAAGCGACAGGATCAGGTTCTTGAGAAGCCGACTTGGGTGAAGCAATGGCACCTTTGTTTTTAACAGATATCTCGTCCATCCGCTTCTGTAGACTTTCATCGACGAACCCAGTGGGAAGAGATGAAGGGAGGGCAATCATTCTTGGGGTGGCACGCTTTTTCATAGGAGGAGCTGGGATCTTGGAGGGAGAAGCGACAGGCACACGTTCTTGAGAAAACAACTCAGTCGAAGCAGAGACACCTTTGTTTTTAACAGATATCTCGTCCATCCGCTTCTGTAGACTTTCATCGACGAACCCAGTGGGAAGAGATGAAGGGAGGGCAATCTTTCTTGGGGTGGCACGCTTTTTGATAGGAGGAGCTGGGATCTTGGAGGGAGAAGCGACAGGCACACGTTCTTGAGAAAACAACTCAGTCGAAGCAGAGACACCTTTGTTTTTAACAGATATCTCGTCCATCCGCTTCTGTAGACTTTCATCGACGAACCCAGTGGGAAGAGATGAAGGGAGGGCAATCTTTCTTGGGGAGGCACGCTTTTTCACAGGAGTAGCTGGGTCCTTGGAGGAAGAAGCGACAGGATCAGGTTCTTGAGAAGCCGACTTGGGTGAAGCCGACTTTGTCTTAGACGAGGGTTGGGTAACGTATGGTCCAGACCTGTGTCTGGAACTGAAAGTCTTGCCGGATCTTAGAGCACCGGTGACTTTTCTCATCATTGCAGACTGTTTCCTTCGCGGGGGCATGGTTGCGGAGGTGGTGTTTGTTGCGGAGGTGGTTGTGGTTGTGGTTGTGGTTGTGGGTGTAGTGGTAGCTGTTGCTGGGTAAAGTCCAAACCAAGGTAGTGGCCTCAGCCTCTTTTATAACCATTTTCTCGTGTGGTTCATGTTGGTCTTGTTTGACGATGTTGCTTCTGGTGTGGCAGAACGGACAGCATGCATTGAGGTGACGTTTGGAGTCCAAGAGGCTTCAAAGGAGGGGCTGGCCAAGGGAGTACAGCCAGGCAGTCACTCATAATAAATGGATTGTCGGATCCACATATCACAAAAAGATCCTCTCTCACCGTACCTGTGCTGATTTCGAGTACAAGTACAAGTACAAGTACAGTACTGTACAGTACTTCAAGTGTTCAAGTGTACCGGTGCTGGCCACAATCCGTGGATCAAAGCTCGTGATCGGTGATGGTCTACTGAACAATACTCTGCAACTTGGGATGCTGAAACGGCCCTATTCGCGGGGCTTTCTCAACTAGGCTGCATTTTTGAGGTTCTCTTTTTGTCTTACTACAAGAACAAGACAATAATTCAGACATCCTCAAGGGGTGGCACTGCGACCGAATTTGGATAAAGTTGTGGCAAAAAAAGGGAAATAAAAAAGATAAAATTCAAAGATAAAATCGCGTGTGTGTTTATGTATGCGAACAAACCAGATGAAAGAACACGTTGAGACGATCAATACAATGTTTTTGCGGCTACTTGTACCTTCGAGAAAATGAACTGGTACTTTCAGCTTAGGTAATCACTAATTCGTTTGAATACAGTACTGTACTGTACCTGGAATCTCGTCTTGTTCTACTACACTCCAAAATCACACATCACTGTTTGCCTCATTCCCCTCAACACCACATTGGACCAAACAGCCCCAATTTGGACCCAGGCGACTCAATGGCTTTGGTTCAGTTCCAGGGTGTGGTACTGTACTGCCCCAAGATTTGTTGCAACCTCGAGATCTGGCCAACCAACAGACATTGTCGCCAACCTCGAACCGTGCCGGATGGGTTTTGCTTATTCGGGATACCGAGACAAGCAATGCCAGTGTCAAGACGGGGTGAAGTATGCAGTTTCAATACAAAAACCCATTCAACTACAATACTTTCTCATATCATCTACTGTAGAGTACTTGCCGTATATACTGTACATACTATTTCACCAACTGAACCCATCAAACCAACTCTTGAAAGAAGCTGACATTGCCGCCCACCTTCCTTCCGGATCTAGGGTGGTCTTGGAGGGAGATGGGGGAGACTCATCCGTATCAGAGTCGTCCACAAATCGGACTCTTTTTATTCCTCGTCTTTTAGTCTTCTTTTGTATAGGTGCTGGAGACTTCCCTTGACCAGGGTCATTCTTGTACCTCACTCGGCCCGACTCTGAGCCTTTGATCGTATCTTCAGTCTTACCAGAATCACCCCCAATCTTCACTCTCTTGACACAAGTGCCGGGAGTCTCGGTTGAAACACGCTTGGTACCTCGAGGAGGAGCCGGCTCAACATTTTCGGGCAGAGACTTTCCATCTTGGAGCACTTTCGCATAGCGATTGACAACTTTCATATGCTTCTGTGCTAGGTAGTCGATAATGCGTTGACTGATGGCATCCAATTTCAGATCACCACTGTAATCAGGGAGCTGATGTGATGCCAGACTGAAGGTCAGCGACTCTTCAACCAGCTGAGAGATGACAGCCAGATCCACGGCACCCATGTCAACAAGTGGAGGATGTGCCTGGACATAAGAATCGGATCGAGGGTCAGGAAAGGACAGGCTTGAAAGATGGTCGTGGAGGTTGTCAGGTGGGATCTTGACTGTTTGTCCGGGGAATTTCATTCGGAACAATGTAACGTTGCTGGATGAGCACGTTGTGAATGTCGTATCCAAAGGAGGATGTTGGACACAGAACCGAGCGGTATGTCTGGCTGGAAGCATCATATTATGAGGCAAGAAGGACTTGATAGTCTCGCTATGGTGAGCGTCTTTGGGAAGATCCACTTTCAAAAGAGGAGTTTGGTATGGTCGTCGTTTCTGTGCCACATGTCGTCTGGTCCGGTATTCTGAAAACAAATGACAAGAAATGTTGCGGAAGGCTTCCGCGATTTTGACAGGCACTTCATCCTCTTTTTCTGTCTTGTAAATGGAAACAATCGGATCAAAAGGATGAAGATTGGCAATTGCCATCTGGAGCTCTGTGGCAAGCCACTTGGTTTCTCCCCAACAGGGGTTCATGAACAGAAAGGCTTTGGGTTGACCATAAGTCTTCATGAAAGCCTTAAGAGCTCTCTGTAGCTTGTCTCTAACGTCGTTTGGGCGCATGGGTTGGAAGGCAGAAAGAGAAACGGTAGCTTGAGTGGTGTGGTCGATAAAGTAGATGAGGTAAGAGTTTCCCTGTTCTTCTCTGTAGAGACCAAAGAAGACCAATCCAGCTTTGTTGGCACTCGGATTTAGCGACTTGTGGGACACGTGGTGCTTGTGGATCTTCTTCCAAAGACTCATCATTTCGTCGTAGTGGAGCTGTTTTCTCGGTTTGCAGAGCTCGGCCCATTTTGTTTCCGAGCCATCCATGCTGCGAATACACCAAGGGAGAATCTGTTTAACCATTTCGACGGTGATGTCGGGTACTTTGAGACGAATCAGGTGCTCCGAAATGATACTGACAGAAGTGGTATAGTCCAGCAGAACGTGGACGGCAAACACGATCCACGGAACATGTTCCTTGGCAATCTTAAGGGTTCTTTCATTTGTAGACACGTTTCGTTGAACAATGAGATGTCCATCTTTCAGTTGATCGTTGTACTGCTTGCTTGTGACTAGAGGATAAGACGTCGAGATGGAATGGTACCAGATTGAAAAGCGACTCAAGTAGGAAACTTGTCCATAGGGAGTAGGCAAATCGAGACATTTCTCAGCTCTCTGAGATATGATGGTGGCGATTGATGGCGTGGAAGTTATCGTAATTGGAGGCATGGAGTTGGTGGCAGTAGGGGGCATGATTATTATGGTGATTTGATGCTGTGGATCATATGGCGACTGTTGTACAACATTATACTGTACATTGGTCCTATAATGACCTAATGAGGCCATGTTTCATGCTACTTCTTGTTTGTGTGGCAGACGCCCGTAGATCGAGAGTTGGTTTGATCATACAAAGAAAACATACTCTTGTTCATCACATTTGCGGTTGTGAGGCGTTGGTGTGGCAGAAGTCTAGGGGCACCTGGGTGCAGCGTTGTTTCATATCCTAGAGATGTCCTCTAGGTCCATTGACGTCACTATCGCAGACGGGTTTTTTTGAGTCACTCGTGGCACGTCCACCCAATATGGCATTACTCACTGTTTAATGGACCTATCGGGGCACGATCATGTCTGTGATATCCATCTCGTTAGTCTCAGGGGTGCGTGGATTATGCAGCCCCGCATTATCTCCTGCAGTCTCGGCTATTGTTTCCCGTTTGGTGACACCAGTCGGCCTCACGAGTTTTGAGTTTGGGGCTGAAACAGACAATCAATGTTGAGATGTACCCGTACGAGTACTCGAATGGGGTCTTTCAATGTAGTGCAAAGGGTCTCTAAGACTATCCTCAAGCCAGCCGGGGAAGTATAAATACCACCTTCTTCCCTGTCCAATTTCCTCATTAGTCTTCTGGTTCTACACCACAACTACAACTACAACTACTACTACTACTACTACTACAATGGCTGGCGGAAGAGGTCTCAGAAAGGGCATCAACAAGCCCACAATCCGTCGTCTTGCCCGACGAGGAGGCGTCAAGAGAATCTCCTCAAACATCGATCCGGACAGCCGAGACATTGTGAAGGATGTCATCAAGCAAGTGCTTGGAGACGCCCTTTTCTACACTCATCACGCCCGTCGAAATACCGTCACTGGTGTTGATGTGGTGCATGCCCTCAAGCGACAGGGCAGACCCCTCTATGGCTTTGATGCTTAGTCAAAGACCACTTTTGGCAACTCTTTACTGAATTAACATGCGAAATTGTAATGAGAGTAGTAGGCCTTGGGCGAGACGTCGTATTTCACATTGTATCGTAGCACCTCGAATTCGCCGACTGGAGAATCAAATACCAACTTTCGAGGTGATATATTAATACAATGAGATAGAGGAGGAGTTTTTGATCATTTTGGTACCACAAAGTGGTTCATTATTGCTTCGGATTATTGAATGATGACTGTCTGTTTTTCTCTATGGGTTCATGTTGGCGGAGTATAGTGGAGCACACACAATCAACAATAACAACAACAACAACACACACAGTGGATTGAAAGTGGACGTAATAAACAAGTACAACTACTTGTGGACGGCGTCAGGTACTTTCTTGAGAACATTTCTCTCATTCAGAGGACTTTGTACTAGCTATAGTCCACTTTGTATGCTCTGGAGAACAATGAAGATTCGAACAATAATATCTAATATTGGAAGAAAGAGGAGCTCTTCACGAGCGATTGGAAATCTGAAGACCAGTCGGGCAGAAAAATCGTGAAATCGGTGATCTAGGAATGAACATTGTCCGGAGTTCATATATTGCTCATTAGGGACACATTTCAGACTATTTTATATGATAATAATTGTTTATTTGTCCCCCCTTGTTCAATTGATAAAGCTTTGGTTTTGATCAACCAGATATTCGTCATTCTAGAGTCATCCCAGAGTTCTTTTTTTTTTTAATAACATAATACATTTTTTTTTTTTCTGCATATACATTCATTTAATTATAACTTTGCTGTGAAAGAATAACCTTTGAAATGAATGTACGCTTACACGAATATTACTAATTAATGTCTTCTAACTGCACCCATGTCTTCTAACTGCACCCAGTATCCATTGAACATTATAAGTATTAATGCTGATTAGATAAGTTAACGGAACGACTTACAGGGACACCACGTTCCCATTGTGGCACACACCCTTCTGGTGGGCTTGCTCATTCTCTTCTGGTGTGTGCTTGTTCATTCACCAGGAAAAGATTCTAGATCAGTGAAACTCTTAACAGGATGGATATCTCGTCTACGACCAAGCTGGTTCCTCTCATCATAATTGCCAGGAATCGCCAGGTATCCTACTACTGACAGACACCTTCCTCACCCCAATATAGTCCCTAAAAATTTCTGTGGCCGAGTCCACCTCGCGATTGTAGAGGTCCAGAACGTCATTATCGCGACTGCCAGAAAACTCAAAAGCACCTTACGGTATGTACTGTACTGTACTGCACTGTACCGATCTCACACACCTCCTACACAACATGATCGACTATATACATCATATCATTAACTGCTTTCATCACAACCACCTACTGGAGATCCTTGGAAACCATGTCCCGGCAAATGGGATGGTAGAAGTCCTTGTTCTTCTCGAAGGTCTCCTTGGCGAGCTTGGGGTCAACCGAGTTGAGAGCTCGGTAGCCGGGTCGAACAAACTTCATTCGACCCACGGTGGCCAGCCAGTCGGCCAGCTTGGGGTACTCGGACTCCACCTTGGCCAGGATGGCAATGGAGTACCACTTGGCAATCACCTCGGGGTTGGAGGAGTTGGCCAGCGAGTAAATGTCGCCCATATTGGAAATGAGTTCCTTCTTGTTGGCCCAGGAGAATCCGTCCTTGCCCTCGTACTCGCTCAGAGTGATGAGGAAGACCACCATCTGAGAGGAGTTGAAAGAGGCAATGTCCTTGGCAGAGAAGGCAGAGGCATCGGAGGCGTCCTTCCATCGGGAAGCAAGGCTGTAACACTCATCAGCCAGAGTAGTATCGAACTTGGGCTTGTTGGGGAGTCCGGGGGCAAACAGAGTCTTCTCCCAGTCAATGGCGTTCAACTTGTCGGTCACCTCCTTGTCGTTGGCATAGAAATCAAACAGGCAATCAATGAACTGGTAGGTATCCAGGGACTTGTATCGGAAGTGCTTAAAGTAGTGCTTGACAAAGGGATCGAACTTGGCCTGGCCAATCTCGGTCTCCAAAAAGAAGAGGAATGTGGATCCCTTCTCGTAGGGCACAGAGGAGAAGGCATCATCAGGGTCAGCACCCCCGTTGGGTTTGAGATCAACGACCAGTTGGGTGTACGACTCCTGGACGGGGTCTCGGGACATGAGTTTGACACTCTCCTCCAGAGCGTTCCATCCGATGATGGCAGAGAAGTGTCGCTGCTGCTCACCCTCTAGAGCACCAACGATTCGTCGCTCAAGATACACGGTCCAGCCCTCGTTGAGCCAGAAATGTTCCCAGGAGCAGTTGGTGACCAGGTTACCACTCCACGAGTGGGCCAGTTCGTGTGCAATCACATCAACATTCTGTCGGTCTCCAGAAACCAGGGTAGGAGTGGCAAAGGTGATGTTAGGGTTTTCCATTCCTCCGTATGGGAACGAGGGAGGCAGCACCAGCACATCGTACTTCTCCCACTCGTAGGGGAAGACAATGTTCTCTGCTGCGTTGATGAACTTTTCGGTGTCGGCCTCAAACTCATACTGGCACTTGTGGAGGTCACAGGGCTCGGAGTAGACGTCGGATCTGGGGCCAATGGGGGCAGAATCGAGGTCTCCTCCGGCCAGAGCAAACAGGTAGGCCGGGATAGGCACCTTTTGCCGGAACACAAACTTGCCGGTGTCGTTACTGGACTTGATGGGCAGACCAGAGGCGACAACGGGGTGGTCGGACTCAATCTCGATATCGAAGGTGGACTTGACGGAGGGTGTATCGAAGGCGGGCATGACGGATCGGGCGTGGATGGCCTGGCACTGGGAGAAGAAGTAAGGCGCCTTCTTTCCGGCAGTCTGTTCGGGAGTCAGCCATTGGAGAGCAGTGCAGGAGGGGGTGGTGGAGTAAGCGATCTTGACCTGGAGCTTGTCGCCAGAGTTGGGGGGCAAAGTGATGGTCAAGGGTGATCCAAAAATGTTGTGTCGCTCACCGATGGAGAAGTCGGCTTTGTGTCCGTTGACTTGGACCTCCTGGATGTCGAGGTAGGAGGTGTCCAGAACGAGGTTTTTGGGGCTGTTTTCCACCGTCAGGTCGTAGGTGACCGATCCTGCGAGCTTCTGGTCCGTCCAGTCGACCTTGAGGCAGACGGTGGTGTTTGTCGGCTTGAAGTGTTCGTAGTTGGACAGAGTGGAAGGGTCTCTCTCGGGGCCCTTTTTCTGGGGGACTCGGTGGGGCAAGAGTCTGGCTGCGTGGGACATGGTTCGTCGATGTGGTGCGCGTACAAGGGACCGGGTTACAACGCCGCTAAGTGCTCGTAGACTGAACATGTAAAAATCGGCAGAAGGGGGGTCTTTTTATGGGTACGAGGCACTGGACCTGCGAAACTTTATTTGGGACCTGCGAAACCTAACTTCTGGCCATGCATTTGCAGGTAGGGATCCGATGCATAGGCGAAGTTAAAAAGTGCCGTGTGGGATGGGGCAGGGTGTGGGTGCGGTGTTGGGGGCTGTTGGAGAGGTCCCATCAAGTAGCTGAGTGTTGGGAAGTGTTTTTCCGCCGATTTGGCGCTGGTTTATGGCTTGAATTTTCCAATTCCGCCAACCACGCGTCCAGAAAATACCCGTCTATTCTTGTCCCCACCTTCCCACTAGACTAAAACTCGTATGAAACTGTATCATACTGTATACTACCAGCGAGAACAAGTACGAGTATGTACGGTAGCCCGATATACGACTGAAAGTAGTTGCTACGGGAGCTTGTTGAAATAGAGCCATATTTCAGCTCTGTCTTATTGCAAAGAGAGCGACAAAAGGAGTATTTGCACCAGAGATGGCACGTGTTCCGCCTTCTGACTTGTCTCAGCCAGGCTCTGTAGCTAGTGTAGGATTGTTTTGTACAACGGGATGAGGTGACACAAACAGACAATGATCAATATATATATATATATATATATATATAATACATGATCGACCCCGTCCCTCCTGAATTTTCTTCTTTTCTCTTCTTTTTGGCTCAATGCCATTGCTGCCGTGGGTGACCTCCTCGTCTGTCTTGTCTCTTCGCGCTTGCTAATACGCGGACTCCGACGAGCTACCTATCTGAGAGCTAGATCCCATCTAGCTTCAACATCGCTGGGGCTAGTGATGTCATCCACATGACCGTGTGGACGGGGTTAATGGAGCTAAGTGTGTCTCACCGACGAGTGAGGGCGGTTGCGGGGACTGGAGGAGTCTCGGAGAGATTGTCCTTCTTTTGAGCTCTGCAGCTACCCAATCAAGTTCACTCATCCCGAGCCGTGACGTAACGGTGAGTATGTCGGTCAATTGGGGGTAGTGAACGTTTCGGAGCGGTCGGTTGTAGGCGGGTGGGTATCACAGGTGGTCTTGATTGTAGGAGTAAGAATGTCTGGTTTGTTTTTGATTGGGCCAATGTTGGTCAAGATAGTGGTGATGTGGATGGTGGAGGTATTGGACATGTCGATACTGAGGTATTGAAGATGTCGATCTTGGAGGTATTGGACATGTCGATATTTCTCTGGGAGCCACACAATACGCGATCCAACACGCAAAATACAGGCTAGTCTGTTGATGGGGCTGATAAGAACCCTCAAACTAGCGTCATGGTAGTGCAATGAAGCCGGCACTAGACACTGGGTCGGGTAATTGCCTAAGGCTTGAGTCGAATAGAGTCGAATGGAGTTGGTTGTTGGTTAGTCTAGAGTCGACTCGCTCGACTGATTCGACTTGCTCGACTTGCTCGACTGACTCGACTGACTCGACTGACTCGACCGAAGCTTGAGAGATCTAAATGTCACATGATATCATATGATAATCATCTATAGCAACTTCCTCGACCAATCCCCTTGCATTCCATTCTCCTCATCTTTCAATACAGCATATATCATCTCATCACTCTCAAACTCAACACTCTATATACAACTCCGATAAATTTTGCGACATAACTCAACTTAAAACGCCCACCCCAGATAAGATAAATGTGGGAATGCTACCGGTACGATATCGGACTACCATTCATGGAGTCTCAGAACAGCATAAAACTGAGTGATAATTTTTGGTATTATTTTCAACAAATAAATGAAGCCATTTAATTGGTATTTATGTATTGTCTTATTTTTTTCACAATTTACTTGAGTTTTGAAAACCCATTGCCCTCCCCAACACAACATCCAGCCAATAGAGAGACTGGAAGACGCTAATAAAACAGCCGTGCAACGTTGTAAGAGCTGAGATTAACCCAAGGAGCAGACATGATTGGTGGACTGGAGACGACCAAAACAGCAGCTATCTCCGATCGTCAATCATCGGTTACTTTTGTTTTGCTCAAACTGCGCCAGACTCCGTCACGTGACGTACAGTACACGGGTGAGCGGACATGTGCTCAACCCAACACAACACAACACACCATGCTATACTACAAGTAGCAATCACGGAGTATAACGGTATCGTAGCTACTCAAAACACCATTCACTAACTGCCAGTGGTAGAGGGAAAAGACAGATCAAGAGTAGTGAATATGACTGGCCAATGATAATACTACTAGTATGAGAGAATGGCCGCCAGATCCAGCTCCTCCACGTGCTCAACTCAACTCCACACTCCCAAACCAAACCCACCCTCCACCTGCAGATCAACCAAACTCTACATCTACACGACGATACACGAATTGGTCTTCGCTACACGTTCTAAGACGGTTTCTGAGCTACGACAGGACTTTTTACATCGACCAATCACACTTGTTCTTTTCATTGATTGGATTCTTCATCGACCGGCTTTTTTCCCCCTGACTGGCTTTTCATCGACTGGCTTTTCATCGACTGGCTTTTCATCGACTGGCTTTTTGCATTTCCTAGACATTCGTTTTTGTGACACAATCCCGAGAAGATGGATCTCGGCACAATCATGGCTTCCGTGTGAGTATTGGTGTGTGGCTTTGGTGGTGGGATCGGAGTGATCAGATCATGATCTGGCGGTTCGAGTGTGTGCTGGTGTGAACGCTGCTGGTGCGAGTACTGTGCAGGCGCGAGTACGGTGCTGGTGCGAGTACGGTGCTGGTGTGAGTACGGTGCTGATGTGAGTACGGTGCCGGTCAGAGTACGGTGCTGGTGCGAGTACAGTGCTGGTGCGAGTACTATGAGCCGGTATTTATTTCTTCTTTTTGTTAAGAGCTCGTGTCATAACAAGAGTCGTGTGAATTGTGTGGGAAATCATCAACCGACAAGACGATGGTAGAGATGTGAGCGGTGTGAGGGTTTGAGACCATGAGACCGATTCCAAGGCGATCATAAGACTGATTCCAGATTCAGATTAGTTCTCGGCACAATACCGGACGTCTTTTGCAACGTCCCTAAGCCACTCACTGATTCACCGGTCCAGTCTGACATCCGGAAGCTCTACAGAACGAAGCAGACGTTGTCTGTTCTGCTGCTTGGCCTGGGTCTGGATCTCCTACTGAATCATGCATGATCTTATATGAGATTCGGGCCCCAGCCAGTCATCTGATGTACCACTTTCTGCGTCTGCTTTAGATTCTATGCTTCTATGTCAGATTCTGTGCTTCTGACTGTGTGCTTACGGGCCTCCTTTTTGTCTGTGTCTGGTGATCCCGTCCAACATAATCGCATGTCACTCTCTACCGCAAAATCTAGTGAAACCCCCTCTGTCACTCTCATTCTCCAATAGTCATACTAACTCAGGGCCGGAGCAGTAGGCTCGAAAATCGTGTTCCACCCCCTGGACACAATTCGAACCCTCCAACAAACATCCACCAACTTCAACTACATTCTCCCGTTACACCGCTACTGGCGTGGCCTGGGCGCATCGGTGGCCCTTACAACCCCGGCGTTCACCACATACATGGTGTCTTACCGCCAATGTAAACGGTTTCTCACGCCGTATATAGGCGACGACTCCATGGCCAACTACGTCATCAGTGGCGCGGTCGCGGAACTGGCGTCGTCCTTCATCTGGACGCCCATGGAGGTGATCAAGGGCCGAATGCAGATTTCGTCGAAAAACATCAGCACGTTGCAAATCATCAAGCGTATCTACGCGACCGAGGGTCTGCGAGGCTTTTTCCGAGGCTACGTGATGGGCATTGTGGTGTTTCTGCCGCACTCGGTGGTCTGGTGGGTCACATATGAAAAGACCAAGGCGTGGATGGAGAAGCGAGGCGAGCTGGGGCTCAAGGAGTACGCTGTGAGCTCGGCGGCCGCCACATGTACTGCATCGGTGGCGTCCAACTTTCTGGACGTGGTCAAGACCCGGCAACAGCTGGCGGTGTCGGACGAGATTCGAGGCATGCGTCCGGACGACCAGAAAAGCGTGTTTCAGGTGGGCAAGAATCTGATCAAGGAGGTGGGCCTGGGCCGGGCGTTGTTCAAGGGCCTGCATATCCGGTTGCTTCACTCGCTGCCGTCCTCGGTGCTCAGCATGATCATTGTGGAGACGCTGAATCCTGACACCAAAAAGTCGAGGGAAAAGCACCATGGTGAGCAGAGACAATCTTTCGAAGCTGCTGATGTGTAGCTGGCTGGTGTCGGCCGGCAATACCATGAGCCAATGTATACTATAATTGCATTATTAGATTAGAAGGTGAGTTGCTGGTTCTGTGGAGGCAGCACGTAAAAGCAGACAAAATGAGGTGAGTCTTTGGTGGGCTAGATGATATGATAGTTTGTGAGTAGTTGGGTAGTAGCTGGGGAGGACTTGACAGTGTTGCGGTTGACCACTCCGATTCGGATTCGGATTGCCGATTGCCATTTTCGACCACCAACACACCGGAAGATTGTCCCACAAGGTCGCACACTCGATCAATGGTTGCTTCTTCTCACTAGACCCTGGATCCACACTACAGAGTTAGACGACTCTCGAAGTTGCTGCCGAGAGATTAGCCGGGACAATTACAACTAGCCCAACAGAGGGGTCCAATAGCAAGTTGCTTTTTCGACTGTTTCTGGCTACATTGGTAGCTCCGGGTAGCCACAGTAGTACTAGTACATACGTCCGATCTCGGCGATAGGGTACGAGAGCTGTACATTCAGGCAGGTGGGTGGTTAATTTTGGACGTGGTTATTTGGTTCCCGTAGCTGCTGTGGTGGCCGCTGGAGTGGCCGTTAGTTTTACTAGTCTGATTCATGTCCCCTGGCTCCTCCTTGAAGTTGTCTGAATCGTGTCTCACCGAAACGTCTCAGCCGTTGGTAAGTGAGACCATTGCAAGACAGTCTGGGGTTTTACGACCGTGGGGCTCGTATGATTGTCTATTCTATTGGGAACCGTACGAACGTCCCCCCGTATTCGCTAGTTCTCGTATTCGCTACTGTGCCCATTCAGTACTGTAAAGCCTGGAAATGGAGAGCCGATATCTATCCATGAGGAGAGAAAACCGCTCACCACCATCTCACGCCAGTGGCCAGCCAATGCATGAGCCGAGATCTACAGTGCTACCAAAACTCTGTCGACTAGTTGTGCTAGTGGAGGTGCTAGTGGAGATGCTAGTGGAGATGCTGGTACTACTGGTAATGGGGGCGATTGGTGGTGACGGAATCTCAGCTGGTTGGTTGTGATTGACAGACAAGGAGGTTTGTTATTGGTTAGTACCAGACAGTAGCCACAGTGTTATGATATCGCTCCAAACCAGCCATTCAAGCTCAGACTTTGCACTAGTGATCTCGAGTGTACAGTAGACTCGTACAAGACGGGTGATACACTGCAGGAACGACTCGGAGAGGCGATAATCATTGTGTGGATGGTGATTGGACGGGCTGGTTTCGAAGTTATCTCCCATTTTTCTCCTAGATTCATCGTTTTTCACGCCTGACAACATTCGAGGTTTAGTTATTTTTTTTAGGAGTTATTTTTTTTTTTTTTTGAAATTTCACTCTTCCTTAGCCCAGTCTTAATCCACCCTACCTGCATACGATAACGCCCACCTGGCAGACGTTCCAGACGATAAAGTTGACCGAGAGCTCCACAGGGACGGATTTGCACTGGACATTGGCGATCCTCACGAGCTGTGACCGATACCGAAGAGGCTAACCAGCCGTTGAAAGACAGGTGAAGCTGTTGAATGTCGGCAATTACGTCTCGCCATTGGAAACAATCTATACAGACTCCAGTCTCCACAGACTCCAGTATCCACCGACTCAAGTCCCCAGAGCCAAATAAACACCACCGCGTGCCACAATTCCGTCTATTGCAAGCCACCAAGACGCACACGTTGTAACCCTACACTGTGTACCTTACATGGAGGTAAGATTGGTGGAGGAGATGCTAAGAGTGCGTCGTCCGTCGGTGGGGTGATTGTGACAGGAGCCACGATAGATTGTGTGCATGGTGGAGTAATTGGCTGGCTAGTATACGTTGTTAGCAGCGTATTCTATACGGGGATGCAACAGCTGCAATGAGAGAGCCCAAATCATTCTCAATCACATAAATACCACCGTTGATACCCACTTAGATCCCCAGACAAGTAACATCTTCTCTTCCAACTCACTACCACCACCACCACCTCCACCTCCACCTCTACTACAATGGTCTCCGCCAAGTACCTCGCTCTCACCACCCTCGCCGCCTCCGCCGCCGCAGCTCCCGCCCCCGAGATTGTCGCCCGACAACTCTCTCTGTCCGGACCTCTTGGAGATGTGACCTCGATCGTCAACACCGTTCTCGGCCTGGTTGTCGGCACTCTGGACGCCGTTCTCAAGCCCACCGGAACCACTCCTGACGAACAGCAGGTTCTCGCCTCTTCCTTCACCTCTCTTAACGGCGAGCTGACCACCCTGATCAAGGACCTCGAGACCGTCCCCATTGTTGGAACCGTCGCCACCATTCTCTATGGAGTGGTTGTGTCCCCCCTGGTCACTTCTCTGCTGACCCTGCTTGAGCACGTGCTTACTCTGGTGGTTGGCCTGCTGGTTGATGGACTGGTCCACCCTCTGGTGTCCGCCCTGACCCTGCTGCTCGGCACCATCTCCACCCTGACCTCGGTGCTTGCTCCCCAGCTTCCCAACCTCGCCGGCGACCTTACCTCGCTGCTCAGCGTCGTCACCGCCCTTCTCGGCAAGATCTAAGCGACTTTTCCTGCTGTGCCTGGCGCACCTTTCTCTTCTTCTCCCTAGCGGATCGATTTAACTCTTTTCAATTTAAACTGTGCGAATACTTTAACTAATAATAGTGACGAGAGCGTGGCTAAAGTAGTTACCAACTACATTGGTCGAGTGTTCAACAAAAGACAGAGCCTGTACTTAACTAGTACAGTACTGAACATCAGTTTGAAATTTTGTAGTCAGTCGCAATCGGGAGCTACATGGCCAGACCATTTCGGAGGCATAGTGACCAACGGAAATGGAAGATGGACATGATGAACTTGTCTTGTGTCTTTTGATACTCATTCAGTGTACTGTAGTCCAGAGCGATAGGTGACTGTGTCAGACGGCCTTGGTGAGGACCACAAGTTGGCGAGGTGGGCTCTGTAGGTCTATGGGTGACCGGTGGAGTTGAACACTGGTGAGCCAATAACTGATTGATGCCTCTTACTCCGTCCCTGGTGACCGTCCAGCCAGGTCGATGACTGTCGGACTTGAGGTAAAGATGGCTGATCTGTGGGATTAGGATCGATCCTGTAGGAAAAGAGTCATTAGACACGTTTTTTTTGTGCAAAATCCTTTACATTCAAAGAGCCCGGTCGTCTGAGATTCTGGTTCCTTCTTCAGATATCATATTCCCTGTTTGTGAAGCCACAAGGTGGTCGGTCGGTCGTCGAGCTTCACTCCGTCTTCTCAGACATTCCATTCTCTTCTCAGTCTATTATCTTCTCAGTCCATTCTCTTATCAGTCCGTTTTCTTCTCGTCATCAATCTCTCCTATGTTTCAAAACTCCTTTTTTTCAACCGGTGAACTGAAAGAGCGTGAAAACCAGCGAAAGGACTCGTGAGATATCCATTCGTCAGTGCTTGTTAAGCATCAGTGACTCGACATCTGTGCACGTCCCCTGATCGGGAAGGAAGTCTTCAGTCGAGACTCGGTAGACTTTGGTACTCGAAGTAAAGGAGGTGTTGCGATAGTAAATGCCGGAACAGAATAAGTTGATTCGATGGTGCAACAATATCACAAGTACAGCCCACTAGTGTCTAATTGGACAAGTTTGCGAATAACAACTCCGTCGGAAGAAGTCCAGACCCAAACGAATCCCATGTGGAAGAGTTGAAGTGAATCGAATCTGACGCAAAGTGGTACGCGGAGATCCATCTGATCCAGCTGATCATTACAATGATTGTCATTGACTTGGAATTATCTTGGACTTTTCAATTCACTGGCTTATCGTGTCCCGCTGACTTCACCTGGGATCAGATTCCCAGGACGCAAGTGTTACATGGTGGCTCAGCAAAGACTGCTATAGGGGTGATTGTCTCTTGATGGGTCCGTCTTTTACGCCATCTTCTGGATCACCTGTCTGAATCTCCTGCCTCATCTTCCACAATCTAGCGATGGTCAAGAGGAAAATATCACTTGTGGGATCTATTGCCCTCGTGGTCAGGTCTGGAGCAAGCTACTGACCGGTTGCGCAGCATAGGTTCGGGAAAACGCAGAATCTCCACAGCAACGCCACGGGTGTCGATGGAGAGATAAAAATAAGATGATTGTACTCCACCGGTCGAGGGTTATGGTGTGTATTTCTTGGTATATCCGAGTTGTTTCCATAGACTCAGTATTGTTTACCCTGCGGTATGTGAAGATCCGTTGGTGTTATCAAAAAGAAGCATTGTGTGCTCTTACCTTTTCTGGAGTGGACGTTCTTGTAACTTTTCCCCATCCAGTACCTCTCACGACTACCCAAGGGAGTTTCATCGTCTGTTCACCTTTGGCACTGTCTTCTCCAAGAACTGTTCCTGTAGATACAGGTGGCACAGCCAGACTTCTACTGTGATGGAGGATCTATCTCTTTTATGAAGATGGGGTAACCGTTTTCAGGTATGAGTTCAGACTACAATAGTTTCCGTTGCTGGCATGGTCTCCAGGATGATCTCTGACGCCAGCAGACAATAAGTACCAGGAGTCGTCGGACTTTCCAGAGGCTATTGATCCCCTCAAACCCTCAAACCCTCAAACCCTCAAGCACCTCATGCTGTCGTCGATCTCGTTGTCTCTGGTCCTGCTCCAGTCCAGATCCCTCTGAAGTACGTCCTGGAGGAGTGTCAGACACGGATAGTGATGGTTTTTCCCACCGGGAGCTCCGGATAACCTCGTCTTTCGGTCTTCCACGAGATCACAGCAGTTTTAGTCGCAATGTGGAGACCTCCTCGACAAATCTCCAACAGTTTGACGCATAAGAGATCAATCGAATCTCTTGTTTGTTCCACTCTCCAAATGGATTGTCCAGAGCTATATCACCTTTGCCCCTGTACCATTGAACTGGAGACTTTCTGTATTTTTTTTCTTTTATTTCTTTTATATTTTTTTTCTTCTATTTTTTTTCTTTTATTGCCACTACTTGTAGCCATTTCTGAGGAGGCCGACTTCAGTTTATGCCTTTTAATTCTTGATGGATTTGATAATTTGGAAAAAAAAATTCTGGACTTTTAGGACCGGGATAATCCGGCCAGACTACTACAGTATTAATACATTACGCGTACCAAATGGAAGAAGAAAACACGGGTCTCCCAGAATGGTTTCTCCTACAGTATTCTCACCATACCGAACCGATCAGCTCTGCTAGATTCTGAAGAGGAAAAAAAAAGAAAAGAACAGAACAGAAAACCCCATCCCCTCCACCCATCCCCGTGAATCCCTTCTGATTCCCCACCTGCTCTCCTGACGCGCTCCTCCTCGTACGACCAACCAAAATTTCTGCTAAGTACAAGTAGTTGGTTTCTTTTTTCTGCCAAAAATCCGTAACGCCGATCACCACGCGACCGGACAATCTAAAATGCAGTTGACTATGTCAGCAGAGGAGGTCTAAGTCTGACTGTGAGACATGAGGTGAGCAACGGCGACTAGCGGGGCTTGTCAAGGGTAAAATATGGGTCAATTAGGGCCGTAGATGGACTCCGACCAACCCTACACGTAGGGCAGTACTCGTACGTTATAATACGTTAATATAATACGTTATAAGACATGGTGGAACATGTCTAAGACAGTCAGTTGATCCGTAGCTAACCCTGGCCCCAGATTCAGATTCAGAGTCGGATCTCTCCCTCTCCCTCGTACTCGGCTCTCGTATTCGCTTGGTGACATGCATAAAAAATGTACAGCTCAGCACATTGACCACAACTCCTTTCCGACCTGCGGGTCCCACAGGCCGCGGGCCAGAACAGTCTCAGAGTCTCAGAATATGTCCGGGTTAAAACTAGACCGCGTTAATGTTAGTCTTCTACCTCAACCTTTGTGGGGAAAAGACCATCCCAAGTGGGGTCGGTTGTACTACACTGTACACCATGTGCCTCCCAGCAGCACCACCAAATGATGACTGAGGCTGTAGTCATGACAAACGAAAAGTTGAGGAGCAGTGTTGCGCCGGGGAGCCGCAAATGCGGCATTTTTTTCCAGGTTTTACCCCATAATGAGTCTCACAGATGCATAGAGGGGGCTCCTCAACACATTGAGAGTATCAACGGATACAAAGCGGCACTAAGGAGGGGAATAGGAGGGTCCTGGAAGATGTGTTGACTGTTTGACAGTCTTTAGACGTCCATTAATGCTCCCGAAAGTAGCTGCTAGCCACACCGGAAAATCATTATTCCGAAAGATGCATAGACATAAAAGGAGACTAAAACAAGGTCCCTTTCTGTCAACAGACCACGGCGAGGTTCTGACATGTTTGCAACTACAAGTAGCTTGTACCTTGTACTTGTAACTTTTCTCGACTCTTTATTTCAACAATTTTATTTCAATTTTTTAAAATTTTAATTTTTTTTAAATATCAAAAAATCCAATTCCCAACCCCAAATCGAACTGAGCAAAGTTCCATGAATAAATCCGTGTCTCACTTAATAAAAAAACCACCAGCTGATCCACTATTTACACTTTCCTAGATGCAGATAGACCCTAATCCTAAACCTAGCCGCTAATACAAATTGAGATCCAACCCTAACCCATTTACTCAAATTTGAGAAATAACCTAACCACTAATCCAATTTGGATATGCAACCACAACCCACGGGTCCAAATTGGAAACAACCCTAACCTGTGACTGCAGCGATATGGTGGCATTTTTGGCCGCATTTTTGGTCTGCATTGCACTACTTGGGCTACTTCCACTAGAGTGCAGCTTGTGGAATCAAAAAATAGCTGCGTAAAAATAGCTGCGTTTTCAACCTTAACCCTGGCGAGACTCCACAACCCCAGCCCACCAGCCTAGCCCGGGGACGGTCTTCCGCTGGTAGTCTTCTTCCCCGCTGCGATCCTAAACCTAAGGTTTAGCTTTTGCTAGTTTTCCCCCGCCCTGTAATCTTATTCTTAATATGGATTGCCCTAGCCCTGTCCTTTACATACCTTTAGAAGGTTGTATTTTGGAGGGAGGAAAAAAAGAAATTCCGGCTCGAGGTGAAAGTTCGAAAAATTGAGAAACATTAAAAAAAATTAAACATAAAATATTAAATATTAAATATTAAATATTAAATAAATACAAATGATTGATTACAGACGTTGAAACGGCGTAAACCGTGCTAAAACTATACTTTGGCACAAGTCAACGTCATGTCACGTAGAAACATGGTCGTTTGGCAGCTGTCTAACCGGCGGAGGTGGACAAGGGCAGTTTGTTTTTTGTTTTTTTTTTATAATGGAGTAGTGGATTAGTGGTAAGTAATTAGACGTGTTTATGTCACTTGGAGCTGTTGATTGTTTGTCTTTTGTTTGTCTAAATTGGTTTGGTTTCGGTTTGTTCGGTTGGTCTATGGTGGGGTTGATATCCTTTTGATGACGTCATTATCGGATTAATTATGTCCTAATGATCCGTCGGGCCGTTTGTATAGAAGGAGGGCGCTGGATTTGGCGTCTATTAGGGTCGGACTAGCGGATTTTGGAGCCAGGTTGAGACGGTAGGTGTGGTGAGAAGGTGGTGATCGAAGTGGGGGAGAAATGTGGGGATGAAAAGAGGGTTTTTTTAGTGTCCAAGGGGCGAAAAGAAGTCGAGCGGATTAATAGAAGGTAATTGGAAGGAAGGGTGTAGTGTCTGAGTTGGTTTCGTTTTGTTTTGAGTCGTTTTGAGTCGTTGAGTCGCTTGAGTTGCTTGAGTCGCTTGAGTCGCTTGAGTCGTTTTGAATCATAATTGCCGTCTTGTCTCCAATTTATGAACATGTAGTTCAATTTCATGACGGGGTTATCTGACGCTTTTGTTCTCTCTACAAGTAGCGCCCCTTTTTCCTTGTTCCGTTCCTTCTTTCTACCGCCTCTTGTTTCTCTCCCTTCTACCGCCTCTTGTCTCAGTCTCATAGTAGAGTCAATGTGGGGAAAATATACCCATAGAGTTCGAAAATGACCTGATTTCAGCTTGCAAAAGGTAGTATTCCGTGGATTAACTGGTTTTTTTTGCGGTCTAATGTTCCGAAACTTGTCCTTGTGGAGTCAGTACTCCAATCTGAGTCATCTGTGTTGAAGGGCGAGTAGCTGAGACGTCTGAGACGTTGCTGAGGACACGTGAGACGTTGCTAAAGACTTATTGATGTTTCTGGGGACTACTGACGTCTCATATCAGACGCTTATTGATCATTCATCGGATTCATCACCAGAACAAAAACTGTCATCACTTTATCGAAACTACTTTCACGGCTCCCTGCAGTGAACCAAAAGATAGAAACACTTCCCCTCTTTGGTCCTTTTATCCTGCTACATTCTTCAGCCGCTTGAATCATCTGTCAGGGGGTTTGCGGTAGTACCATGCCATCACACGTCTCGCAGTATTGCCGTCTCGTGGTATTGCCGTCTCGTAGTATTGCTCCCTGCGCTCCCAGGAGTATCTGGGGGGGGGGGGGGGGGGTTCAGAAGTTGATTAAAATGACTCAAAGACGGATAATAACTGTCATTGAAAATTTGGACTTGTTCTGGGAACTATTTCAGCTTCAGAGTGGTCCACAGAGGTATACCCTAACTAGTATTTAACTATTCTCTAACTAAATACCAACTAAATTGAAACTAAATTAAAACCATGTAAAAGGCATATCTCGACATCTCTCAAAATTTAGTGCAGTAGTATTAAAGGTGTTAGATATTTCAACAGAATTGCCAAAAACATGCCATTCTAATATCCATTTTTGAACTCCTCCTAATCCCACATTCCCCTGGAGTCCGAAAAAAATAACAATGTTTTTCTCAACTAAATCTAACTACAACACACCACTCAAAAACATGTCTCCAAATCAACCCTTTTCAATTTGAGAATCAACAAAATATCTCAAGCCGTTCCTACTCCTTCTGACGCTTTGATTCATCCAATTTCTCCATTGAACAGTTGACCAGACAGCAACTTGGCCAACTTGACTAACTTGACCAGCTTGACCAGCTTGACCAGCTTGACCAGCTTGACCAGCTTAACCAGCTTAACCAGACTTGACCAGACTTGACCAAGCAGTAACTAAAGGTTCATTTCTGATATTCTGACGGGTTTCTAACCAATTTGGACAACTCTCCGATCCTCTGAAACAGACCAAGTGGTCTACGAAAGTGGTCTATACTCATGATCTACGCTCGCTACTCCTCAAGGTCAAATAACTCTCATTAAAGATCAGATCATACGCTCATGGCATTACTCTCAAAAATCAAATAACACTCGCGTAGACCACTCGCTTCGCTCATGGTCTACCACATGCAATAAATAACTAACTAGAAACATTAGGGGAATTGGAAAAATGGGCAATTTCCTCCTTACTGGGAGCCTCCTCAACCATACCCATATCATGTTCGATTCTGGGAGCCTCCTTCTTTCCAAGCAGGTAGAAAATTCGGTCGAATCCCATGTAGGGCCAGTTGAGGGGCGACTCGTCGCCGGTGTAGAGGAACAGGTCGTAGAAAAAGCCGCCGAGGGCAGCGCCGATGAAGGGCGCGATGATGGGCACCCAGAAGTAGTAGTTGCCCGTGGTCCAGACCTTGGAGCCGTAGCCGATCATTGCGGTGACCAATCGGGGGCCGAAATCACGGGCCAGGTTAATGGCATATCCGGTTTCCCATCCGAGGCATGCGCCGATGGCGAAAATGAGGAAAAAGAGGATCAGGGGTGCCAGGGGGCCGGCGGCGAGGTTCTTTTGGTCGTTGATGGCGAAAATGGCAAACTGGAGCACGGCTGAGGCAATGACCTCGGAGAAAAACTGGCCGGTGGTGCTCATAAACTCGGCGGGGTAGGTGCAGAAGATTCCGGCGGTAGAAGTGGGCAATCCGACGGTTCGAATGCCCTTGCCGCCCTCAAAAACGTCAATGGCAGACCGGTGATTTCCATAGACCAGAGCAGCTCCGGTCATACATCCCAGCAACTGGGCCACCAGATAGATGGGAAACTTGCGCCAGGGGAAACCTCGGTAGATACAGGAGCAGAGAGTCACGGCGGGGTTCAGATGGCCGCCGGAAATTCCACCAGCGGCGTAGACGCCAAACATGACTCCGAGACCCCAGCCCCAGGAAATGGACTGGTAGTCTCCGTTTTTGCCGCCGGAGAGGGTCACCTGGGCCACCACTCCGTCTCCCAGCAGAATGAGAATCAGACATCCCCAGAACTCGGCAAACGGTTCTCGGAGCTGGTGTCGGATTCGCGGCCACAGGGGGGTTTCGGGCGAGTGTACAATTGCGTCTGTCATGGAGAAGATTTGGTGATTTGGTGATTAAGTGATTTGGTGATTTGGGTGATTTGGGTGATTTGCTTGAAGACGACTTGTGAAGTTTGATGGATGTCGAATCTGGAGTCAGTGGGGTCTGGGTCTAGTCGTCGAGCTCTAGTCGTCGAATCAATCAACCACTGTGTGAGGAGTAGATGTTAGTGCTGATAATGACACCAATGACACCCGAAACCACCATTATATATATACGTCCAAAAACCGGTCCACGACCTTTTTTTCCCTTTTCCCTTTTCTCTTTTTCCTTTTTGTCCTTTTGTCCTTTTGTCCTTTTTTTTATTTTTTTCCCTGTTTGGTGCTTCTTTGGAGGAGGGGGACACCTAACTGACTGGGGTTAGACGTGGTTTAGATTTTTTTAGTCCTTGTTTTTTAATATTTTTTAGTTTTTTTATTTTAGATTTTTGTCTTTTGTCGTTTTGTGGTTTTTAGTCCGCATATACATGTTGCTGGCGTGGCAGGTTTGACAGCGTGGTTGCTGGCTGAATTTGGAGAGCGTTTTCGGCGGTTTTGGAGGTTTTTCCACGGTATTTTTCTGTCCTTTTTTTGCCTCCAGTTTTCTTCCTTTTTTCGTCTCTTTCTTTGCCTCTTTTTTTCCCTCTTTTTTCCCTCTCTCTCATCACCATCGACCGGGGCGGAGAGAAGGGCGTGCAGTTTCTATGTGAGTGTTCAAAGTCAATTTGGGTGTTGATTTGGGCAGCATTTGGGAGAATTTACAAAGAATTAAATTGAATTAATAGAATTAATAAATAACTAAATATGTTTTTTTGCTAAACAAATGATCCGAGGTTTATTCGGTTTAATCCGCGGCGGAGACAATAGAGTTTTCCGGAACAATTCGGGAAACAAGAATGGTGGTACGAGCGCGGTTCGTGCGAGGGCGATTCGCCTTCGGGTCACGTGAATCACATGATTTACGGGAGTTGATTTTCCGATTTTCCGATTTTCCCAGGCGTTTCTTGCTTGTTTTTTCCACCTCGTTTTTCCATTCTTTTCCCATTCAATTTTTCCGACAAAAAAAGACAGTCAGACGACTTGTACAAGTCTCAAATGGCGGGGGCATGCACCGTCTGCTGATACTGCTCCTGGGGAAGGTGCTGGAGCGTTCAGCCATGCATTGTGGAGCCCGCAGAACGTTTGTCTGGAGTCGAGTCTGAGTCTGAGTCTGAGTCTGAGTCTGAATTGTCTGAATCGGAGTCGAAGCGGAGTCTGAATCTGACTGAAACTGCTTGTTGTTGCTGCAGAGTGCGCCAGTGTGCGTTCAGTCCGCGCCAGTCGCCGTTCAGCCCGCATTCAGAGCCCGAAACAGACTGTGTCAACGCGACTGGCTGTGTGACGCCTACAGGGGCATTCCCCCGCACGCAAACTGGCCCATTTTTTGCTCGTCTTTGTCTGCATCGTGATCCCGTTCAATCATACCTCCAGAGCCGTTCAATGCGGTTCAATGCCGTTTGAGATACAAAGAGTGACAGAAGAGTGACAGAAGAATGACAGAAGAGTGACAGAAGAGTCAGAGAAAGGGATACTGAGAAGAGAGGAAGGGATGAGAGCAGAAAGAGATGTTCAGAGCTAGTCTTACACGGTTAGGAACACAAAATTGGAGTCTACAAGATTCTATCGATAGGAGTTCTCGTACATATTGTGCAAGTAGTACTCATAGTTACAAGTATTGTACTGTATACTGTATACCATACCGTAGAATATACTATAGACTACTTTTCGGCTGTGGCTTGCAAGTGGGGTAAAACATGAGTTGAATGCCAATCAAGTGAATGTTCGTTCTACAGACTGTACAATCCTGAAAGTCACCTGTAGCCCTGGAAACGTCATGTCGCCATTGCCTCCTCATTCGCCGATATCGCCATTCACCCCACCCCTCTCTACTCTCAACCGCTTCACCTCCTTGTCCACCATTGTCTCGTGTCGTGTCTCCCCACAGACCGTTGAACTTTGAGCCGAATGGGCAGATTTGCCTGTCGACAAATGTCCACCAGTCTCGGACGCTATTTTTTCCACTTTGCGGTGCCAAAACATAAATCTTGTCGAGACTTGCCTTGCATTGCACCGCTTGGCCACGTCCCAGAGCCGTTTTAACCCCCTTCTTTGTTTCAAACCTTATTTAAACACCTCATTCGCGAGCCCCGTTTCTTTGTCTGGCAAACGCCGCTGCTCCAGGGCTGCAGAGTCGGCCAGTGACGCGAGGAAAATGGAAGAAAGAAAAAAAAGAAAAAAAAAACATAAGAAGTCGGAGGGCAAAAAAGGGCACAAAGAGGCGAAAGAGTTTGGGTCGCGGTCGCTAATAACGCGGAAAAACCCAGCCTCCCCTCGTTGAACAAGACACGTACGAATGCCCCCGGACGCTGTACGAGTAGCCGCATATGGCCTGTTTGGAGGGAGTTTTTCCGTAAGACCGAGGCATTGAGTCGAATAAAAAAAAATTTGCCGAGACAAGGATGAGAAAGAAATGACAGGGTAGATGGAATAGACAAGAGAGTGATGATGATGTTGGGTGATATCAGGTTGTTGATTCTTTCAGCCCCCGCTAGCATTTTCCACGGCACTCATGTAAGTAACAATCGTACAGTACGATACATTCTCCTACTCTTTCTTATTTTATTTTTTTTCTTTCTTTTTTTTTCTTTCTTTTTTTTTTCTTATTTTCCTGTTTTTTCTCTTTTTTTTCCCTCTTTTTTTACCCTCTTTTTTACCCTCTTACCCTCTTTTACCTCTGTTAGCCGCTAAAGCTTAGGAAAAACTCATGTGGGGATCCCCATCATCTGGGGTCTCGAGCGGGGCAAAAAATGGAGGGGAAATCAGACGGGATATCTGCAGCCAATCAGAAGGCAATCCAGCGCTTTTTTGGGCCAGGCGCCAAGCGCCCCGGAGACCGGGTTCTGTGTGTTTCGCCGTTTTCTTATTTCTTTTGGACCCCATTTTTTTTGGGCCCCATTTTTCGGAGCTGGACCCAAAAATTAATCCGTGCCATTTTTCTGTTAGGGTTGGACAAAAATAAAAATGCATATGGGACTGGCCCACTGCGTCATTGTGCGTGGGAAAACAAGCGGTTATAACTTTTGATACAGAGGTCGTGGAGAAATAGTGATGGTGTAAGCTTGATTGTCGCGTCGGGAACTTGCCATTGATACCACCAACGCCCCAATTCGACCTGTTTTGGCGCCGCAATTTGCAGCAATTTGCAGTCGAAAAACCGCCAGTCTAAGACCACAGATAAAAAGAATGCGCTAAAAAGGTAGGCGACAGCAACGTTGCGAGGGGCAGCCGCCGGCCGACAGCGAGCAAATGAGGGAATCAGTGCAGAAGGATGGATTGAATTGGATTGAATCGAATGATTGGATTTATTGGATTTGTTGTTGATTAATTGATTGAGTCGGAACTTTTGCGTCTGTGTAACTCTCGACCGGGTCTCCACCATCACCGAAGTGAACCAAGTCTGGGGTCCCTCCTCTCCTTCTCATCTCCTTCCTCCTCCCCCTCCTCCTCCTTCTCTAGACCCCCACAACCCCTCTTTTTTCACTTCTTTTACCTCTTTTACCTCTTTTACGTCACTTGCTAAACCTTCTTGGGTGTTTGTGTGACTTTGGTTTTGTGTCTCTTTCTGTGGTGTGGTGTGGTGGTCTGTTTGTGTTTGTGTGCCCCCAGAGTCCCAACTATATATATACCGGTCTCCCCGGCACCACGGGACTTTCTTCTTCCCTCCACACCCTACTTTAAAACCCACCACAAGACCCACCACAAACCCCACAACATGTCTTCCTACGTAGGAGCTCTCGACCAGGGTACCACCTCCACCCGTTTCATTCTCTTTTCGCCTGACGGCAAGCCCGTGGCATCCCACCAGATCGAATTCACCCAGATCTACCCCCACCCCGGATGGGTGGAGCACGACCCCGAGGAGCTCGTGAGCTCGTGTCTGGAGTGCATGTCGTCGGTGGCCAAGGAAATGCGAACCCAGGGCATCAAGGTGGCCGACGTGAAGGCGATCGGAATCACCAACCAGCGAGAAACCACCGTGCTTTGGGACATTGAGACCGGCCAGCCCCTGTACAACGCCATTGTGTGGTCCGACGCCCGAACCGGCGACACCGTCAAGAAGCTCGAGGCCCAGCCCGGCGCTGACGAAATCCCCAAGCTCTGTGGCCTGCCCCTGTCCACCTACTTTGCCGGAGTCAAGGTCCGATGGATCCTGGATAACGTCAAGGAGGCCCGAGAGTGCTACGATCGAGGCAAGCTGGCCTTCTCCACCATCGACTCGTGGCTGCTCTACAACCTCACGGGCGGCCTCAACGGCGGCGCCCACATCACCGACACCTCCAACGCCTCCCGGTCCATGTTCATGAACATTGAGACCCTCAAGTACGACGAGAAGCTCATCAAGTTCTTTGGCGTCGAGAAGCTCATTCTCCCCAAGATTGTCTCGTCCGCCGAGGTCTACGGCCGAATCGGAACCGGCCCCTTCGCCAACATCCCCCTGGCCGGCTGTCTCGGTGACCAGTCCGCCGCCCTCGTCGGCCAGAAGGCCTTTGAGCCCGGCCAGGCCAAGAACACATATGGAACCGGCTGCTTCCTGCTCTACAACGCCGGCGAGAAGCCCATCATCTCCAACAACGGCCTGCTGACCACCGTCGGCTACCACTTCAAGGGCCAGAAGCCCGTCTACGCTCTGGAGGGCTCCATCTCCGTCGCCGGCTCGTGCATCAAGTGGCTGCGAGACAACATTGGTCTCATTGAGTCTTCCGAGCAGATTGGAGAGCTTGCCTCCCAGGTCGACGACTCTGCCGGCGTGGTGTTTGTCACCGCTCTGTCCGGCCTGTTTGCCCCCTACTGGCGAACCGACGCCCGAGGCACCATTCTGGGTCTCACTCAGTTCACCACCAAGGCCCACATTTGCCGAGCCGCCCTGGAGGCTACTTGTTTCCAGACCCGGGCCATTCTCGACGCCATGGCCAAGGACTCTGGTAAGCCCTTCACCAAGCTGCGAGTCGACGGAGGAATGACCAACTCGGACATTGCTATGCAGATCCAGGCCGACATTCTTGGCATTGAGGTCGAGCGACCCGCCATGCGAGAGACCACCGCTCTGGGTGCCGCCATTGCTGCCGGCTTTGCCGTTGGCGTGTGGAAGTCCATTGAGGATCTTAAGGACATCAACACCGAGGGCATGACCGAGTTTGCTTCCAAGACCAACGAGGAGGAGCGGGCCGCCATGATGAAGCAGTGGAACCGGGGCATTGAGCGAGCTGTTGGCTGGCTTGAGTAAGCGCGCACCTGATGACGACGAAGATCATGATTGCGCGTGACACTGGACAAACTATGTGCTTTTTTTCCCGGCACTGACGACACACTATTGACTAGGATGTAATGATAACGAATTGCCTGGCGACAGCCGGGTGTATGTATGAGTGAACAATGTGACCTGGTACAGTACATATTGTACTGTAAAAACCGGTATTACTTGTAGTACATGTACCGTACGAGAATCGTAGCGTGTCGCGTATAGCGCGTGTGGCTAGAGTTTTTTTACCTTAACTAAATGCTACGTGTCTTGTATGAGCGGCGTTCTGAAATGTACGCGTATGTCATATTTTGGGGTATTGGAAGGGGTAATATAGAGGCGGGGGAAAGTGTTTGGAAATGTTCACGTGAGTGTTCCGAGTACGACTGTGTTTTTATTTGTTTTCTGGCAGTGTTATTGGGGAGATTGGTGGTGGCATATCTGCATGTTGAAGGTATCCAGTTAGGTCCAGTAGGTGGTATATATGTGTGTAATTGTACGGTTTAGCAGCGAGAGAAGATGATGGATATATGAAACAGGCGATTTGGAAAATAATGCACTTTTTCAGGTTTCGATCTGGATTCTGGATCTCGAGATATGTTGGGTTTAGAATGTGGTCCTACTACTGATGACATAGGATGGAACTGTGAAAAGTACAGCACTGTACTGATATTGGAAGACCCAGAAGTGGACCTGTATATTTCTGACACGTTTCTGAGTACATCTGTGTATTTATTTTTCCATTTTACTATCCAGGACGTTTTTAGACGGGTATTTTGTTTTGGGAAAAAGTTGGGTAGAAATGTTAACTAAGGGATTTGCGTTTAAAGTAAATACAAACAATATGCCCAAGTAATTTTACTTGTGTGATAATTGAGAACTGAGATGGCTCGCAATTTTGTGTAAATTAATTGGCTAAATTTTGGCCCCGTGTAATACCTCAGAGATTATCCATCTTTTGGTTCGAATTTCAACTCTATTGGTTCTCTGCAAAGACCAATAGGGTCCCCCTGGATGTTCCATCCAACTAAACTTCAACTAATGTTAACTAACTAACTAAAATTCTCTAAATAAGTGAATATCAAATATTCTCAGCTCAAGGGGCCCTTCTCAATCACTGACAACTACTTGTAGCATTATCAGCCGATCTCAGTATAACAAGTTTGATTGTCTCACACCGTCATTTCTGGAGCCACACCATCCGTCTAGCTCGAACTATACTGTCGTCTACCCCAGTCCACTAGCTCTACGTTTAGCGGGGAACAAAAACAAATTGAGACAGTCTCGTGCTAGCATCAATTAAGTGGGCGTTAGTTGGAGACTATTACTGATGATGACGAGCGGATTACGAGGTAACAGGGGTAGTCTCAAGTCTACCACAGGTACGCTGTATATTGGTGGTTTGAGATACAGCATTAGACCGGCAGAAAAAGACCGATAATAAAGGTGTGGGGTATCTGGAAGCTTTCGGAGCTAGATTCGAGACTACTGAAGAGGAGGGGGAAGAACTTCTGGCTTGTCTGGAACACTTAACTTGCTGTTTTTGTGTGCATGACCATTGTTGTCTTACTTGTAACACATGCACATAAAACTGCACACAAAAATGCTATAGAGCTGCTTAAGAAGTCCTTGTTTCTGGCAGTTGACGCAAAACAGAAGCAAAATATCAGCCCAGAAGTCTCCGTCTCAATTTGGAAGTCTGAGGTTTGGCTCCTGTGCGTGTTATACAGTGTTGATGAATGCGGTAGTCTATATGATAATGATGTCGAATTAACTCGTCCTAAGAACTAGTCATGAATTATTAGACTTGCCAAATATACTAAATGGACCATTCTAAATCCACCAATGTTGTTAGAATTTCAATACGAGCTTTATTTGCCGCTCTATCCACAATTCCAAGTCGCTGCAGTATGATACCTTTACATGGGGTTCTTTGTTTCGGCCAAGAGCCCCCTCAAATGTATTCCAAACCCCTTTGATCCTTTCAATTATGGAGTTTCAAACCGGAATCAAATTTCGGCTTCTCAATTGCTGCCCTGGTTCACATTCTATAGCCACATTCGCATATGTTCATACATGCACCAATAACTTGCATCTGAAGTCCGCTAAAAAGACAGCTATCAACTCAGGAGGTTTTCTGGGGTACTATTCAGGCTCGAAAATACCCCATTGTTAACTTCTGATCCTTCTAGCTACTGTATTCGAGCTACAAAAGACGATATTGTAACCACCAGCCACCTTGCAAAACCATACATATATCTTCGGCACGACATACCAGGGTTGATTTTTCCCGCAGAGTCTCCAAATTTAATACCCCACAACCCCGCACGCACCGCATGCTCCAGCGTATAGTTTTCTCTCGTTATTGCTTGGCATTTCTGTAGAAACGAGACGTGCTTAGCTCACCGTCAGTCAGCATGCCAAGTGCGTCCCCAGATTCAATTCAACCGGCTCAAAAACGAGTATTTTTCGGCACTTTGTTCAGAAATCGGATAATGCAGACACGCTAGTTCAGAATCTGCTCTTGCTTTCGTCCTACCTCCAATATTCATGATTCTTTGCCCATTTTGATTTCCCTCCGGATTTTCTTTCCTCTTTAATCCGCCGACATTGAGCGCAAAACACGTGATCCCAAGCTTTATCCGACAGACCGACGGCTCCGGAATGATCCGAATCCTGCATATCCCTCCCTGTCGTCGTCGCACAGTCGTTTGTTTTTTTCAGACCCACCTCCTTTATTTTCCGAGGCCTGCAACATTCCATTAGCCACATGCAATATATATGCACGAATATGCACAAGGGCGTGTATATGTATGCAACGTGCAACGTATACATGCATCTCTAACCCATATGCAAGCACATGCGGACCACAAGCAACAACATGCAACTGCTAGCTATTCTTAGCAAAAACCGATCCAAGGGCGGAAAATTCTTTACACTAGTCCTGCAACATGTACAGACGCGTGTCGACGGATAATTGGAGGTCCCGGAGGGCTACAAGTAGGGTAGGGTTAGGTGATCGGAGGGATCGGAGGGAGATATTTTCGGGTAACCGGACCGAGGCTCCATGTAGGGCTGAACAGATTTGATCCGAAAGACTCCGACAACCTCCGACCGCACTGCTAGGACTGGCTAGTGATAAGAAGGGTTAGGGGGGGCAGGGGTGGTTGTCACGTGACGCAAAAAGTTGCTCCGAATCATTCCCGAGGTGGAATGAACGCTGAGGTGGTGTAAGGAGAAGAGAGAGGGTATTTATTGGGGGAGTCGATTCTGGAGCCCTTGTTATGGCGGATCTTTTTCCAACAAAAGCCATTTATTATGATATGAGGAATTTAGTAGGGTAGTTCTTTTTTAATACTGGCTGAAAAACTCCAATTTTTGAATAAATGGTAAATCAGCTAGAAGTAGGGATCTTTGGGGGGGGTTCAGTTAGTGGTCTGATAGGGGAGGATAAACTAAAATGGTATGGAAAGGGTAGAGATAATTTATTATCTTTCTGGTTTGAATATATACCTGTTCTGAGCAGTATTGAATGGTCTTGAAGAATCTCTGTTTTCCAGAACATCTCTAAACGAGCTATCTTGACGCAATATTACTCATAATTGTCTGAAAATAAAACCGTAGCATTTCTGGAGCAGCAATAATCATTTTCTGAAATACTCAGGATCTCTAGTTCATTATTGCGTCTCTGGAATGGAGTCATGTATGTAAGCTATGATTTTTTAATAATTCAGTGCGCCGTATAAATTGTCAGATTTGGGGACATCAAATGTTCTGGAGTTGAATAATTCCATCTCTACAGCTTCTACTTGTAGTAGCTTTAGACACCAGTTCTGTTCCCTTGTGTATATCTACATCCTGACTGTAGAGCTATGCATATATCTACTCACAAAAATGGACGTAGAATGATGGGAAAAAGATACGACTTAGATTGTAGTTGATAGAAAGATTCAAAAAGGTCTAATTTATCATTTGCTGAAGTCCATATCGTTTTCCTAACTTACAGTACATACTTGTAGATCAAATTACAGATGTTAGTAAAATTGCAAGTTTCTTAGCTGCGTAGAGTACAACTGTAGTATCTCCGTTAAAGCGACATTGACTAAGAAGAGAACAATATTCTGCTCATAATTTCCATCCAAATAAATCACAATTGGACACTTGTCACTCAGATAAAAATTGAATGAGTTGTAGAGTCATTAACAGTCGATATCCATAGTGGCTGTTTTGGAAGTCATTAAGATATTTCTTGGAGACATTTCTTGGAGATATTTCTTGGAGACATTTCTTGAAGATATGTTTGTAGAAACTACTTGTGCCATGTTTTCTATTCCACAACTTTCCAATGAGATATATTTAAATCTTGTGGATATTCGTCATCATGAATTGGAGCCGTCAAACCAATGGGCTGTTTGGGCTGAAACCACCAAGCGGCTTCTTTCGACTTCTCGAAACTACGTCTTCCACGAGACTTTGAAGATAGGGAGAGGTACTGTCTAGTTGACTCCAGTGTAGGCCTCCTACACTACTCCATCTCTCCTTCAGACTCGACCAGCTGCATCTCGCGACTGAGCTCGGAGGCTCTAACCTCACAAAATCGACCAATGGCTTCTCAAAAGCTCAGAGGACTCAATTTAGTGGGCCTGGAGATCTACCACGACATCTCCTCCTTGTTCGAAATCGACAGTCATCTCTGAGGAGGCCAGAGAAGGAGCAATCCGACTCTTCACTCGAGAGATTTTGAAACTTCAGCCCAAGTACCACACCATCGTAATTTACTTAATAAGCCCTGCGCTTTATTGTACATTTGTCTATTATCACGTCTACCCATCGTTAATTCCATCGAGTATCTGTGGCAGTTCTACGAGGTTGCTGTACAGTCCTATAGCTCTTGGTCCAGGGTGCGTTCAGGTTGGTCTGGCCAGATCGGTCTGATCAGATTTGGTTAAGAATCTGATAGCAGATTCGTCATGACTACCGATAAT